TCCCTCCTATACATATAATAATATCATCATGAGGATGGTATATGAAGTGAATGCGAGTTCATCTGGTTTATAACTTACGCTAAATTTTATTTTATTTTTGTTCGAACTTTATTGTTTTTCTTTATCTTGCTATATAAGATTGCATAAATATCTTTTTTTAATAATATTTTTAGGTTAATTTTTACATCAATTAAAATTAAATATTTTTTTAATAATATATGTGTTTGAAACGATGTTAATAATTTTTCATAAATAATATATATATTTTTTTACAACAACTAGATTAGAACAAGGAGACATTGACGTTAATTGATAAACTACAAACTCATTGACAAATAATAAATTTAAAATCACGTTATATTAGATAAAACAAACATTACGGTCTCTGGAATTCCTTCTAATTATTTTTTCTTCTCTTTTCAATGTTCTAGGGTTTATGACTGATAATAATTGTTGTTTCAGCTGGCTGGTTAATTAATTTAATGAGGAGTCGAGGTGGAAGATACTTTGACGGTGGGAAATATGGGATTTGAAAAATGGAAGGGCGGCATGAGTTTATACGCCAGCAGGGAATTTATTAAAAAAAAAAAAAAACAAAAGAAAGAAAGAAGAAAATAATTGCAGTAGGAAAACCTTGAAAAGCCTAAACCTTAGATTTAATTAAGAAAGTTGTATTAAATAAATGAATCAAGGTGCTGTCATTCTAAAAAAAAAAAATTAAGAAAGATTGTAGTTGCCTTTGATTTTTCAATTTTTTTTTTTTTTTTTTTTAAGATGACAACACCTTCGTTTTGACAAGAATTATATGCGGGAAAAAATAATCATTTTTTTTTCCTATATAGGGCAATGATTTCATACTTTGCTGGAAGTTGAAATAGAAAATTTGCTACTTTCGTAATAATACGATCATATACCTCATACGCACGTAATCAACTTTTCATTTGTCTTTGTTATTCAAATGCTAACAACTTTGAATAAATTACAGATTAGTCCCTTTAGTTTCAAGAAACAAATTAATTACTCCTCTTTTTTTCAAAAACTATTATTTAATCTTTTAATCAGTGTTTATCAAGTTTAATTTAATATTATTTTTATTCTAAAAAATCTCTTATTTTCTCATCAAATTTTTCATAGTTTTTTCTTTTTCTATTTCTTAAAAAAAAATCAAAATAAATTAAAAAAACATAAAACAAAAAACTAAATTATAAGTAAATTTCAAAATGTAAAGACTAAATAACTAGTTTTTTTGAAATGAGAGGGGATGATTGATTCTTTTCTCAAAATGAGAGGGACTAATTTGTAATTTACTCTAACAATTTTTTTCCCTTCAACTCTTTCTTGCGATTAACAATATCATAATGAGATGTTGTTTGATAATAAAAAATAAAATGATGAAAATGAAAAATAAAAATCTTATTTCTACTATAAATATTTAGTTGATAGAAATTAAACAAAGTTCAATTCTCATTATCTATTGAATAGCTAACCATGATTATTTTTTTAGTTGTATCAGGTTTAAGCTGGTTTGGTTTAACAAGCATTCCAATGGTCGGCCAAAACTAGATATCTTCTAATGTTGGCTTAATTATGAAGTGATAAATTTAATTTTAATTGAAACGAAAGTTGATTTGGAAATACCTTACTACATATATATATATATATATATATATATATATATATATATATATATATATATATATATATATATAAAATAAAGTAAAAATGAAAATAAAAATTAAATATAATTTTATTTCAATGGTACGAGGTGCAAATATAAGGGTAAATATACTCATTTTCCATTATATAATACTCAAAATTTCTCATATGTCCCTATGTTTCGAATTGCATCTTATTTATCTCTAAAAGTATTTGAAATGTTCAATCTGTCATTCTGATCAAAATAAGCGATGGTGATGGTATTTTTTTCAAAAAAAGTATCATTGTTATTCCACCATCACTCTTTCATAGCCACCATTATCACCGTCACTCTTCCGACATCACAACCTCCTATGATGGTGACATTTATTATAATTTAAAAAATATATTATTTTGTTATTATTATTATGACCACAATTTTTCCTTCTGTTCCTTCTCTTCCACCACTACCTTTATAATTATCTTTATCGTTTGGATAAATATATTCATATGTCTTTATATAATATTTAAAATCTCTAATTTATCTTTAAATTTTCAATTGCATCGCATTTGTTTCTTAAAATGTTTGAAATATTCAATCTGTCTTTTCGATCAATTTTTCCGATTAAATGAAAATTTTAATTGAAATGCAAGAAAAAAATAAAATAAATTCTAAAGACTTTAAAAATGGAATAAGTGGATCATGTGGCTTTAAATTTATTTATTTATTTATTTATTGTAGCAAAGGATATTTCTAAAATGTCATTTCGATTCTATCATTTTTATTCGAACCTTTCATTCTCGATAATCAAAAGACACTTAAAAAAAGATAATTTTCTTTAAAACTAATGAAAAAAAAATGGGAATCTATATTGCTCTCAAAATAAGGTTAATTTTGTGTCAAATTATTCTCTTTATAAGTTGTACAAAATTAAGATCACAAAACCCGCATAGAGAGAGAGGGGGGGGGGGGGGGAAGCATCGGTGAAAAGAAAAATATAAAAAAACTAGTAAATAGAAAACCTTCACTTAAACTTACGAAAATTTAATGAAAAAAAAACCTTATATTTTTAATTGTGATATGATAAGTAACACGCAAAGGAAAAAAAAAAAGAATGAAACCCGAAAGCGAAATAAAAATAGAAAAGCTTGGTTAGTTTAAGTAGGTCAAGTCAAAAAAAGAATTGATTGAGTGTCGCATCAGGAAGTAGAACATTAATTTCCTACTTCTATGGAAATATATATATGAAATTATTTGACAATTTTAATTATGAAAATTGTTGAAAAAAAGAAGAAGAAAAATTGCTGTCAAAGTCAAACCCATCAATGTTGATCTTTGCAGTCAAGCCATTGTATTTTGCAATCACTATCAATTTTCAGTATAAATTATATACCATTTATATACAACAGCCGTCTTCATAAAGTTTTGCCAAATTTTCTTAGACTGGTTGTGGATACCATTCAAGCTGTGAAGCAAATCATTTGCTGTGTACGTATGTACCATTGTCACCAGCAGCTTTGCCTAATAAGAGATTACATGTAAAGGAGAATAAATATTTTCATTACGCTAAAATGACGAAACTTGAACTTTAATTCATTTGAAAATTAGTATTGGAATTTTTAATTTGTGTTTTGATTTTTTTATTTTATTTTATTTTCAACTATCTTCTCTCTCCTCTAAAAAAATTCAATTCTTTGTATTTTGATAGATTTTTTTCAAAATCAGAAATTATATATATATTTTTTATTTTTTTAACATTAAAAATATAAAAAATCAATAAAAAATAAAAAATAATCCGAAATGATGTCAAATTTTTTGGATAGTTTCAAATAAACTCATTGAATGATTTTCATTGGGGTAAATCTCATTGAAAGATTTTCATCATGGGACTATTTATATAATTTTAATTTTTGTTGGATAAACGATAAAAAACTAAATGTATCAAATCACAAAAAAAAAAAAAAAAAATTAGTAAAATCAAAACACAAATTAATTAAACGTTCAGAATTTGATTTTAAATAAACTAAATATTCAGGAATTTTTTGGCCCCTTTAGCCTTTTCAATTTGAATCCATCCTGTTAAATACAGGATTATTCCTTATAAGCCATATAGTCTAAAACAAAGAAAACAAGTCTAGGTACCACACTTTCTTGGCAAGTACGTTCAGTAGTGTAATAGTATAGCAAGGGTTTCCGTTTGTAGAGAGTAAAGAAAGATCATTCTGGTTCTTTATGGTAGAGATTCCAAGCCGTTATTCGACATTCTTGCTCTAGCTGTTACTCGAAAGGAGGATTATGTGGTAGCTTAGAGAGCAAGAATTAGGGTTAGGGTTTTGGGGGTTTGGATAGATCCGATTTTGATATGTTTTTGGGCGTTTATGGAGGAAGAGTAATGGTTTTTTAACAGGCTCGCTATCATTCAGAATCGTTACAGGAATATCTACTTGAATGGAAAGGAAAACCCAATCCGATATACAAATTCACCTGAATCGGGCTGTTAAGGCCTTCTTATCTTGGGCTTCAGGAATTGGGCTTTTAAGCCTGTCTAAATTAGGCTTGTGTGCAAAAAAGTTAGTGGAAATCATGAAGTTTTTAGTTTAGCAAAGCCTTGTCAAACCGTATTAATTATAGCTACAAATTATTTGTTTTCCAATTTTATTCCACACCATGACCCCACCTCAAAATGTGATTCTCCTATAATAATTTGAATTATTTTTTAAAAATCCTAATGAAGCTGAAAGTTTTATCATTATAGTCTCGAGTATTTTAAAAATAAATTCTCAAAATCAAAATATGAGTCTCCTATAATAATTTAAATTATTTTCTTAAAATCTTGTTTTACTATTGGAATCTCAAATATTTTTAAAATAAAATTTTAAAATAATTTGAATTATTTTTTTAAAATTCTAATCAAGCTAAAAGTTTTACCATTGAAGTTTCGAGATGAGCATTTTCAGAATAAATTCTCAAAATTAAAATGTGATTTTTCTATAATAATTTGAATTATTTTCTTAAAATCCTAATAAAGTTGAAAGTTTTACTCTTGGAGTCTAAGAGCTTTTTATTTTGAGAATAAATTCTCAAAAATAGCTGCTATTTTGGGAATAAATTCACAAGAGTGCTAAAACTTAGTATTTACCTAACAACATGAAATCACCTTCTCGTTATCAACAGCTTACTTCTAAACAAAGGGTAATGTTCTTAAATGATTCTAGGTATTAGGTGGCTGTGTTAAACCTTCAAGGGGAAAAGATATCAACTTAATTATTGTATGCTTAATATGAATCAACAAAAACAGAGTCCAAGAATTTCCCATAGAAATGCATAATTTCAAAATCAGAATTGATAAGAAAAGGTTCAACTTCTAGTACACATCAGGATGAAAACGCCCACCACCAAGGGAATTTCCCTGCAAAGCTTGATTCAAATGCACTGACAAAGCATAATTGTTAACCTCAAGCATCCTAACCTTCTCCTGATACTTTCCTACCATCTCCTTACACTGCTCCAATTCTTTCCTTTTCTCTTCCCCTTCCTTCAGCTTCTCATGCTGAATAACCACAGCCCGCTTCAGCACTCCATTCTCCTCGCTCAAAGCTTCGACCCTTTCTTTTATCGCATGATCCACTGCTTCGAAACTCTTCGCCGCCTCTTCTGTCACGCGATCGCTAATAACTTTCTGAAGCATCTCAAGGACTTTCCCTGCCCGCGATTTTGCATCGTCCACGCTTGTTGCGCTCATCATCTCTTTCACTAATAGCTCCACCCATTGTTCGCCATTGGCAGGAACAGGGTTATTAGGAACTGGGTTTTCTTTTGGAGCTGGTTGTGGGCAGATGGGAGCTGGAGAGGTGCAGCGGATACGTTTTAGAAGCGGGATACTGGAGGTGATTTCGTCGTCGAAGAAGTATGCTCTTTTGGTTCCACAGACAGCAGCCGCAGCCATGATCGATGGTTTTTATTGATCAAGCCAAAGTCGTTTTTTGCGAGTGAGAAAGAGAGAGAGAGAGAGAAAAATAGGGTTTTTGCGTTTGGCAGAGAGGGAAGAGAGGTTTGGTTTCTGCGGCAAGTCAGAGACTTTTATGGAGGAGAGCATCCTTGGTGATGAAGCAGAAGGAGCCGACATGGATTTTTTTTCCTTATTAAATTATTTTTATTTTACCTAGAAAGATTGGCTAATTTTTTAAAGTACTGTTAGATTTTAATCCTTTTATACACATAAAACTTTTTGATTAATTATACTTATTTTGTACATTTGATTAAATAATAAAGATTAATCTGAATTTATGGGCTTTGGATACCTTTAGAATAAAAAAATAAAAATTGTTTTAATTTTTATTTAATAAATCATTATTACATTTGGTCTTACTAAAATTCAATGTAGTCCTCCTTCTTTAAGCATTAAAGTCCATGAATGTGTAAACTTCACACAATAACCTCTGATTTTATTTTTTTCCTTCTTTTAAAAATATATTTGGCAGAAATCAAGATGGATTATGTAGATTTTAGAAGTTTGGGGACTAACTTCTTATTTGAATATTCTCTCACGGACATAGAACACCTTTTTATCATTCAAAATCTTTTGACTGTAAAATTTTGGTAGCAAAATAAATACGAAAAAGAAAATAAACTTGCTACAATCAATAATAACATTAAAGAAATTTTAATATATTTTTTTATGTTTATGAATATCATCAAGTCATCTTTTGTATGTGAAGATTAAATTCAATTAAAAACTAGCTATTTATTTATAGGTACCATATTAAATATAGCTAATATAAGGGAGGGGAGAAGGTTAGTGACTCCTTGTCTTGCCCAATTTCAAAGCAGTTTGTACTTATTTTTTTAGGAGTTAAAATAATAATGATTATTATTATTAGGTGTTATTTGATAATTAGAAATAGAGTGATGAGAACGACAATGTAAGGATCGTAATGAAAATTAAGAAATCGGAATAGTATTTGTATTTTCATACCGTGTTTGGAATACTAATGAGGAATCGGAATGCAATTTCAAATTTTTAATATCTAATTTTTTATAAAAATAAAAATAATGATTAAAAAAATAATTTTATTCAACTATAATGGTTGTAAAAATAATAAAAGTGATGATGGTGATTATAGTTATGAGCAATAGTGATTGCGACGACTGGTGGTGGTGATAATGATGGTTGTGATGATTGTAGTGGTGGTGATGATAAAAATAGTTAATAGATAATAAATAAATAAAATATATTATTATTTTAAAGAAAAAAATTCATTCTCATTCTTTATTTTTATTCCCACATCTTATATGAGAATGAAGTTGTGTGTAAATTTTTGTTCCCATTCCTACTTCATTCATTTTAACCAAACAACTATAATATGAAAATAAAACTTTAATTCTCATTCTTACTACTATTCTTAATTATCAAATATTAAACCAATTTGTTATAAAGTACTCTAAATTATTGATAAAAAAAATAAATTCTCATCTTTTTATTTTATTTAGGTTTCTAATTTTTTTATTTCTAATTAAGTTTTTTATCTTGTTAATTAAGAGACACGTAGAACTATTAAAACATTGTCATATAACTTAAAAGCCCTAAACATAAAACACATATTGTTGTTTTGTAGGTCTATGTGTCATTTACACGTGTCTAGTATTAAAACAATGTTATATATCTTGAAAGTCGTAAACATTAAATACTTATTGTTGTTTTATAGCTCTACGTGTCACTTGTATGCTTTTAATACAATTTGAAATGGGTCAATCAGACGAAAGAACTTAATTGAAGATAAAAAAAAAAATCTAAAATTGATCTATGAGATAGAAAACTTAATTGCTAATAAAAAAATTAAAAACCTAAGTAAAATAAAAAATCAGAAATCAGAGATTTTTTTTATCCTGTTGACTAATAGTTTAGAGAATTTTATAACCAATTAGCCTTATTATTATTATTATGTAATTTCGCAAATTTTCTTTGCTTTTCCTTTTTTGATTTTTTGTCGTGAAAAATCTAGCAATACCGATTTTTCGCGGCAAGGAGAAATTGAAATTGAAGAACGGTTAACTAGAAAACAAAATCTGTAGAGAGGGTCATGGCTTGAAGACAGCCACAGGTACAAAAAGACAGTGGCCACATAAATGATAAAACACAAACCCAGATATTTTAATGCTGCTTTTGGTCTTTTCAAAATGGAAATTGCTTCGGCCAGTCTAGAGTTGTAAAGAATTGGTTGGAGCTTTGGGTCTTCATTTTCTTTTGGATTCAATGTCCTCTTCATCATGTTCTTTATCACCTTCAATAAAGTTGAAGCTTTTCAATTCCACTGCTACAAGGTTTCTTGTGCCGCCACCAAGACTATATCACTACAGTAAGTTTATTTTGTTTTAAACACCTTAATTCTTTCCTGGGTTCTTAGTTAGTCACTCTTTTGTTAACTCTTTCTCTCTTTTCTTTTGGCTTGAAGGGAGTAGGTGTGAAATGACCAGGAGAGGTTTTGCTTTCAAAGGAATTGTTGCTTCTGGGGTTTCGGTCATGGCCTCTTCTTTAGTCGCAGAGCCTAGTCAAGGTCAGTTTTTATCCTCCAGCTGGTTGATTTATGTGTCTCAAGCATGACCTTGTTAATTTTTTTTATTATTTTTTTTCTGTTTGGAATAGGGATGGAGAAATTGCCATTCAAACCAGAGGGCTACAATTTTTGGATGTGGCGGGGTCACAAAATACATTATGTGGTACAAGGAGAAGGGCTTCCTATTCTTCTCATTCATGGTTTTGGTGCTTCTGCATTTCATTGGAGGTTAGATTATATCTTCTGTTTTAATGAATGAAGCACCCATCTTTCCTTAATGCATTGTTGGAGACCATTTAGTTAAGGCAAAATAACAAAGCTTTGTGTATCTAGTCAAGAGATACTGATGTTGTTGGTTTAATTCATGGTTAGCATGATTAATCATTTGGTGGAACCAAAACTCAATTAGATAATGGATTTTGTCCTTAAAGCATGTGAAGGTTTCTTTTTTCCGAATCCAATCTATTTGCATTCTGGTTGCTGCTACTTGAAAAGAAGAAGACTAATGCTGCTATTGCATCACATGGGTTGCTAATTTTGTCCGGTCTGAGACGGATTGGATGTTGGTTTATATTTGTTCCTTGGATATAATGCGAGTCTTGTTCTGTCTCAAACTTCGACTAAGTTATCATCTTTCCAATGTCCGCAGATACAACATACCTGAATTGGCCAAAAAGTATAAGGTTTATGCTGTAGACTTGCTAGGGTTTGGATGGAGTGACAAAGCAATTATTGAGTACGATGCCATGGTATGGAGGGATCAAGTTGTGGATTTCTTGAAGGAGATAGTGAAAGAGCCAGCAGTTTTAGTAGGAAACAGGTATAACCAAGAATATGCGCTGTTATTTGTTGAATTGCCTATTTGAGTATATGTGATTATTGCATGTATGGAGAAAGAAAATTGGTCATTTTCTCTTTGTTATTGGCTTAATATAACTCGTGGTGAATTTTCAGCCTCGGAGGCTTTACTGCTTTGATTGCAGCAGTGGGCTTGCCTGAGCAAGTTGTTGGACTTGCACTACTTAATTCTGCTGGTCAGTTTGGGAATCCAAATGAAAAATCGGATGAGTCTGGACAGTCAATCTTGCAGCAATTTATACTGAAGCCTCTGAAGGAAATTTTCCAGCGTGTAGTTCTTGGATTTTTGTTTTGGCAAGCAAAGCAACCAGCTCGCATTGAATCTGTTTTAAAGAGTGTAAGTCTATTGCTTCTTGATTTGTCAGCTAAGGCTTCTCATTTAAAGGTCTATCACAAAACTTAGGAGCATTAAATTGTTTGTTTCTTTGAGTAGGGCCTCTGTTTTATAGTCATGATTACTGCTGATTTTTCTTTGCTGCGTGAAAATGATTTGTGAAATGTCCTTCTGTTATATATCACGGAATACATAAAGTTGCATCATTGTTGTGAATTGCGATCACCACGTAGAACATCAACAAGAAGGAATATTACCCACCATTTCATTGAGGCCAAAGTCCCAAGGTTTCTGCTAGAGAAATTTGGTCAACTTTGTTATAGCACTGTTAAGATTTCTCCTGGCTTCAACTTAAACAGAGAGAAACTTCTATTCACTCTTTTTGTGTTTCCTTTTAACAATTGTGTTAAATCTGCTTTTTATATTTTTTGAAGTGGTTGCTCCTTCTTGGAATGTCAGCCACAGTGCCATCTGCACAATATATCACCATCCTTGTATATCAATATTTACCCCTGTCAATTATATGATATACGATGATGATGATTGCAAAATCTTATCTTCAAACATTTCCAGTGTAATGTGTCTCTCATGACTTCTCAAACCACTCATGCACTATATTCTTGTTAATTTTATGATTTTTTAGCTAAAGGAAACTTCAATATTGCTTCACACAGGTGTATATAAATCCCTCCAATGTAGATGACTACCTTGTGGAATCAATTACCATGCCAGCAGCTGATCCAAATGCTGGAGAAGTTTATTACAGGTGCATATACGACTCTAATCGTCCTGTTATTGAATAAATTACCCACTTTGATTTCAAAATGATATTTTGAAAACATTTCCTTGCTGACTATTAGTAATAGCGTTTGCCAGATAAGTCCTAAAGATGTAGGAGCTAAGCCTACAAGTTAACATTCTTCCTGACAATGCTTCTTACTGCATTTCTTCAGATTAATGACTCGATTCATGCTGAATCAAAGCAAATACACATTAAACAGTGCATTGAGTGAACTTAGGTGCCCGCTGCTGTTGCTCTGGGGTGACCTAGACCCATGGGTAGGTCCTACAAAGGCCAACCGAATCAAAGAGTTCTACCCAAATACAACCCTTGTAAACTTACAGGCTGGTCACTGTCCACATGATGAAGTTCCAGAGCTTGTTAATAAATCACTAATGGATTGGTTGTCATCTCTGAAACCAGAAGCCTCTCTGCAGACATTGTAAACCTGACCAAATTTCGCAGCTTTATACCTAACATTTGCTTCAAGGTATTGCTTATAATGTAATTATACATCATTCATCAAAGTAAGTGCTTGATTAAAGTTTCCTTTACCAGTTTAGTCCATGATACGGTTTTTACAGGCTGTTTCGGATAACTAGGAAAGTTGATTTGAACAAGAATGCCATCATTTTCATGGACAGTGCAGCTGCTCCTTGTCAATATATAACATGTTTGAGCAAGCTGTTAGTTTAAGCTACACTTTAATTGTTTTATCCTATAAGTCAATGAATGTGATCTTAAGGCCTCCAAAAAAATCTTTGATAGTTCCAATTACGCTCAAACATCACACAGGAATATATTATAGCAAAAACCAGAAACATTGGGTTTCCCTTTCTCACCAGCTACGAAAAAGACAGTGTATGCTCTGGCAATTTGAGGGATAGAACAAAATTTCACTTTTTTTTTTTACCGAGTTTCTAGATGTAAGAGTGAAGATGAAACACATAATAAAAACACATTTGGGTTACTGCATCTGATAATGAAGTGCCTTGTACAGTATCCCTATGCCAGAATTTGACAGGTAGTTTATGCGTTAGGAGTGTGATCCAAATTGATGTGACAATAATGGGTTAAGTTTGCGCAGATAAAACCGAAGATAGTTACACCTTTTATTCTTTTGGCATAGTTGTGCCATCCCTTTCGTAAAATAATCTCAGAAAAATTAACCTAATGGAAATTCATTAGAAATCAGCATATTATTCTTTTGGCATTGTTGTGCCATCACATTCATGAAATAATCCAAGCAAAATTAACCTAATGGATATATATGGATTTGTGTTAGCCCCTCATCTTTGTAATAGTAATTAATTCATTCCGTGGTGGTAATATAATTCTCCATGTCTCGTTGACTACTAGCTATTAACATTAATTGTGAAACACCCATATTTTTTTTTAAAAAAAAGTCAGCATTATTCAGATTCTTAATTGTGAGTGACGTAGCGAAAACTCACTAGAAGAAAATTAATTATCGTTGATCCGAGATTTAGATGCCGGTATACTATAACATGTTGAATTGCACATAAGTACTAAGAAATAGGCTTTAATTCTCGTTGATTTAAAGAACGTCAAAAATTGGGATAAATTGAGATAATCTCTCACAAAACTCGTATTAGCTATGAAAAAGTGACGTTTTTCAATCTCAAAGTCATACATAAATAGTGAATTTTCAACCAAAACCCTAAAGATTAAGGAAAAATTTCGAAAAAATAGTAAAAATTGATTTTGAGGGCCTAAACGACGTTTTTTTTTTGCTTGCCAAAATCACCCCTATATCATGAGCAAAGCCGATGAATTTTGATTGTTGGCCTGTTTGATATCGAACTAGTTCCAAAAAACCTCAAAATTGAGTCGATAGTTTTCCTTCGCTTTTAACGTGCTCATACCATTTTATGAATTCCAAAATCCGTTAGTCCGCATCAGTTGAGGCACCCATATTATCCAAAAACTTCGAACATTTGCTCATGTTTTTCAATTGTTTTTTAATGATGTTCATTTCAGTTCTCTCGATTTTCAAGTTGAAGTATTTCAAAGTGCAAACTAGTTCAATTGGTAAAAGGTTGTTGCAATCTAAAGAAAATCCTAAAATAGTATGATGGAGATGAAATCTAATGGTAGTTAATGCTACAAAGCAAAGGAAATCTAATGGTAGTTAATGCTACGAAGCAAAGGGTGAGGTGACAGGATTGAAATGGATTTTAATATTGCCTCTGCCTCCTATCCTAAACAAAGAACAATTGTTGCTATTTCAGGCTTTCAGCAGGTAAAGTCCACACTCCCTTCCAGAGATCCACAATTCTTTTTGTCCAGCAGCCAGCCACAGACTAAAAATGCCAGAGACAAGAGGATAAAATGGCAAAACATTCTGGCTGGCAAGCTTAGATTTTACAGGAAAAACAAAATCCTAGGTTGTAAATTTGCTGGATAAAACCTGAAACAGAACGCCTCCAAGCATCGTCTTTACCGATGTTCCAGCTTTGTAATCATCGTATTTTAAACTTAAGCACCTTTCGGCATTCCTTTAGTGTCAGTATCCTCCTTAGATTCCGGACCTTTTTATCTACTTCAGCATCCAAATCGTTCTTGTTCTCAGGAATCTCGCATTGTTCTTTCTTGATTCCTACAGTTTCCTAAGGCTATTTCGAAGAGAGACATTATTTTATCTTTTTTTTTTTTTTTCCAACCTGAATTCTTGCTCACAAGCAATGGGCTCTGTGGAGAATGGTTCGACTAGATATAGAGCCCCTCATCCTCACCTTGTTAATGGCCTGAAGCAAAGGCGAAGTGGTTATGAGCCATCAGATACAGAAACTGATTGGCAAGACAGTCCAATGGTTGATCAGAAAAATGGAGCTTTTGGTCCTGAGAGTCCAATTCAGTTGGTTTTACCCAGAAATATCAGTCCTCTGAAGAACAGCTGGAGACATTCTTCAAGATTTGATGATAATTCTCCAAAGAAGGACTCTGTCAACAGTCCGCTTCGAAGGAGGCACAGCAGCAAGTCACCCTTCAAGCCACGACGAGATGATGGTGGTGCTGAACCGATCCCAAATCAGAGAAATACCGTTCCCCTGTTAAGACCTGAGTCAAGAAGACAAATTTCCCCTTTCAGAGCTCAAAGAGATGAAAGTGGTGCTGGTTCACCTACGTTGAGTCAGAGAAATCTCGATAACTCGTTAGAATCTGAGTCAGGAAGACAAGTTTCTCCTTACAGGGCACAAAGAGAAGATGGTGGTATTGTTTCACCTAAATCAAGCCAGAGACATGTAAGTCCCTTGTCAAAACCAGACCAGAGAAGACAGGTTTCTCCTTACAAGGCACAAAGAGAAGGCCGTGCTGTTTCACCTAAATCCAGTCGGAGAAATGTTAGCCCCTTGTCAAAACCAGACCAGAGAAGACAACTTTCTCCTTACAAGGCACAAAGACAAGATGGCGGTGCTGTTTCACCCAAATCCAGTGAGAGAAATGTTAGTCCCTTGTCAAAACCAGACAAGGGAAGACATATTTCTCCTTATAAATCTGGAAGAAAGGAGCATGTTATGCATGAAAATGGTGAGATTGTAAGCTCGAACAGAAGGAAAAATCAAAGAACGCCTACTGGAGAAGAAAGGAGCACTCACGCACAATTCGGCAAAGACGGTAGATTGAGTGAGAGACTGAATGTTAGTCGTAGAATGGCAGCTGCACCAAGACAAAGGTCCTGGGACAAGGAACAGGAAAACAGCCAGGGCCATAAAGACCAAAAGGGGGAAGAAGCCCATCACCTTTGTCAAGAAGCATGAGCCGTCGACAAAGGGAAAGAGAAGTTTCTCACACGAAGGAACCTTCTGTTGGTGAACTGAATGAGATTGTTGCTAACATTAAGCTGTCTAAAGGTTCTATGCTTGATGTTCCAAATTTTGAAAGCACAGAATCTATTTCTCCCGGTGACATCTTCTTTTCTGTTGACCAGAAAGCCTTGGTGATGCAGAAGAATGGCTTATTAAAGGACAACAATGTAACCAATTTGTACCCGAAACCTGCATCTTTTCCTCACACGGATTCTGTTCTTCTTCAGCGTAATAAAGTAAATGGCAATATCAATCATCGAAGAACTTCGACAAGTTCTAGTTCACGAATGACTATGACTTCAGCCTCTGCTGCAAGTAGGCAGAGTAGTGGCAAGCTCAGCAGCGACAATAGTAAGATAAGTGATGCTAGTGGTAGAAGTGGGAGCTTCAAGTTCACAGAAAACAGAATGAAAAAACAAGCAGAAGCTTGGTTTTCTTGTATGAGGAAGGGGTCTTGCAGGATCTCAAAATCACCTGAAAAAGAACGTTTTGATGAAACATCATTCATCGAGAAGGCATTTGTGGTTGAAAGCTTGAGACAGTTCTGGGCTGATAAGCATCAACCTGGTTCATTGAATGGATTTACATGCCACAAACATGAAGCTCAAATTCTCAGTCAACTTGTAAGTTATTTCAGGATTGAGTAATCATTTTTCCCTCTTAGCTAAAGATGAACATGTTTGAGTATCACTTGCATTCAGCCTTCTGCAAACTGCTTTATTAACTACGTCGCGTCGTTCGCTGTCGCTAGTCTATTTTACCACCAGCCCTTGTTGACACATTTTATGTATAACCACAGGTATCACATGACAGCATTCCTCACATATTGTTGAAGGGCCCATCTGGTTCTGGTAAAAAAGCGCTAGCAATGGCTCTGATTGGTGAAATATTTGGTGATTCTTGTTGGAATGTATGTCCTTCGTTATCAGATACAATGATCTTTTCTCTCTTGAACAGTATTTTCGGATGCTTCAGTTAACTTAAATCCCTTTCTTTTTCTTGCAGAAAACACATGATTTAAGATATTTCCTGGTTCAGGTATATGAGCACTCTTGTACTTTTGTCATCTCGTCTTATCGAAGTCCTGGAGATATCGGCAGAACTGAAATTTTAACAAGCTCAATATCCCTTTATTATCTGTATTTTAAAATGAAGTTGGTGCAAATTTGAAGATTCATCTATTACATTTAACTCGTTTCTCATCTTTCAGAGAACTTTGGGGGTCAGTGTTTAATACTTTCTCGTGGACAGGAACAAAGGGCAGCAGCGCAGGTAGCGGTTCCAATAACATCCAGTGCTCACCATGTAGAGATCAATGTAAATTCGGAACCAAATGCTAAATATGCATTAATGGGTTTAGTGAAGGAAATAAGCAAAACTTATGCTATTATCCCTGAAGTTAGCCATGTCAATCTTAACCCAGATTATAAAGGTGAACTCTTTAAACATAACTATTGTTGCCTTCCTGCTAAACATTTGCACTCATCCACTTGAAGCTAACACTTTGGTCTACTTTGTTTCAGTATTAGTTCTTTATGAGGTTGACAAAGCACCAGAGAACATCCAGCACTTGATAAAATGGATCATGGACTGTTACACAGATGCTTGTAAACTCATAATCTGCTGTGAAGATGATTCAGACATTCTAGAAACTGTAAAAAATCGCTGCAAAGTTTTAAAAGTCGATGCTCCTGTGACCCATGAGGTAAGTATGTTCTGATTAAAATCGGTGTATCCACTGCTTGAATGAAATGATGGTATATAAATACAGTTTGGCTGGTCTGCTTTATTCAGTTTTTCAGTACAATGTCGAAAACTAAGATTTCCAAGCCAAGGAGTCATGACCTTGATCAATACCTGAAATGGGTCCTAGCTTGGTCCTACTGAATTATCCTGCTCCAGTTAGACCTTACTAAAACAAATCTGTCTTAACTCTCATTTCTTGATTCAACCTCTTTCCCAGATCATGGAGGTTCTCATTCAGATAGCAAGCAAAGAAGAGTTTGATCTACCGATGAGCTTTGCTGCTAAAATAGCTGCCAAATCGAAGCAGAACCTGAGAAAAGCAATCATGGCTCTTGAAGCCTGCAAAGCACACAAGTGAGAACTTGAACTAATGAACATACTCAACTTCCAATAAATCTATATCAAAAAATGGCAATGATAATTAGTTAATTACCAATATATAATGTTTGTGGGAATCTTTATCTGCAGCTATCCTTTTTCGGATGATCAGCCGATCCCATTTGGATGGGAAGAGGTTTTGGTAGAGCTTGCAACAGAAATCCTGATTGATCCATCACCTAATAAGTATGATTTATCTAACTGGGTAGCAATCAGAATTTACCATACTTGGTTTTTCCTGATGAATACTAATTATTCTTTTCTGCTTTTATGGATTTCACAGATTATTTTCCATACGGGGAAAGTTTCAAAAGCTTCTTCTGGATTTCGTTCACCCCAAACTGATTCTCCAGGTGATGCATTTGACATCTCTCAGCTGAAATAATTCATTTCATTATTACTAGCAACAGTTTTCTTCTTTTTAATGTAATTACTAGAAATATAAATTTCTGACAGAGCTGAATTTCCAACAAACAGAAATTGGTAGAGCTATTCCTGAAGGGAGTGGAGGCTAACTCAAAACGGGAGCTTTATTATTGGCATGCTTATTATGTAAGTTTTCTTTCACCATTTTGTTTGTATTTTTGTTTTTACTTTTCGGCCAAGTTTTGTCCTCAGGCAAGCTTTGGTGCTCCAAGACTAAGTCCAACTTTGTAATACCGTCTTGTCGACAAACTGAAATGAAACGAATTGCTTACAGGATAAGAGGCTCCCAACAGGAACAAGTGCCCTGCTCAAATTGGAAGGTAAAATGAACAAACCACTCTAACAGGATAATCTTTTTAGTTATTCACGCATAAAGATTCTGCAATTCATTGAAGCATTGATGCTTAGCATTATATATATATATCCAAATGGAAAATTTTATTCTAGGCACTTACCGTTACTTGGATAGTTCATAACCTAATCATGCACATATTCTGCAGAATTCATGGCTAAATTCATGAGCATGTACAGAAAGAGTTCTGGCACTCGTCAGTGTGTGTAGTGGAGCTGGTTTTTATAAGCCCTTAGCCACATACTTGTACGTCCACACTAAGGTGTTGCTGCTAGGGATGTTAATGCTCCTTGAATTTCAGATTTTCTGCTAGCTCCGGATGGATTGGTTCCTTCAAATACTTAGCTTTATTTTGCTTGATTATAACCTGAAAGAACACCGATTTCTGTACACAATGTGCTTTTGTGTGTATTGGTTTGATAAAGATAATCATGCAGCAATCATCCCTGGACAGAGTGGTTACAGAAGTGTCACAAATTTGAGTTGAAAATTATAAAATTAAACAACCTATGAATTAGAAAAGACGAGATTACAAACTTAACAGTAGAATAAATCTATACGAACACTCACACTAACTAATGACGATAAATGCTTGTAAATGAGTATTTCAGATATGTCAATCATTCACGATAATGAACAATTGATGCATAATTAGAATCAAGAACAAATCTATCAACTTATGAATCTAAAGAAATTGGGAATAGAAGTGCATAAACAACCAAATTAATGGTCTGATGCCTGATTCCATTTGAGTTTTGGTCTAAAAATCTTGTCCATTGTGAGGTTAATCTTCTAACTAGCTGCCATGAAACCTTTCCTTTTTTTCAATATATGCAGGAATCAGCATCTTTAGGTGTTTTTACCTAACAAAAATCTGTCATTGCCATCATTCTTAAGAAATTGTTAACACTGTTCCCAGTCAGACAGGAGGCAGCCACCTTTGTAATGGCCTTGGGGTTGGATTAATTATCAATTATCAAACACTAATCATCCCAATTCCTTGTTTATAATTGTAAAATTAACATTCTGTCCAATAATTCTATCCAGAACACAGGAAAAATTCTCTTACATATAAACCAAGACTTGCTACTTTATTTCTCTGTCTCATCCAAGAGCAAAAAGAATCCACTTTCCACGTTCTTTTATTCTCCAATATTTCTTGCCCCTCATTGCACACACTCTCTCAAATCATTATAGACGTTTAAGATACGAAAAAACTTTGAATCTCAAATTCCAACTTTGTAAGGAAATGTCATATCATCATGAATCTGAACATTCTCAATTCTTTTTCAAAAGAATGTGATTCGCTTTATTGATTGCAAAAGTCTTTCTTTCTCTTTTTCTTTTTTATCTTTATTGTTTTTTTTTATTTTTTATTTTTTGTCTTTAAGTTCATCATGTTATATTTGATTTTTATCTAATATTATTTTTTCATTAACTTTTAGACTAACGGTGTTAATTTTTTTTTTTTTAATCTCAATTTTATCTCTCTATTCTCTTTTATTATTTCTCCATTAATATTCTCAATTAGAGATCTCTGCAATCATTAATCATTTCTTTTACGAATTTGGATAATTTCATGTTTCTAAAAGACATTTTTAAATCTCATTATTGATTTTAAATTCCATAATTTGAATTAGATAAATAATAATAATGACAATAAAAAAAGAAATTAAGTTTTTTTTATCATCGTCATTTAATTTGAATTCAATAATTTTGATTTAAGAAAAAAAAACAAAAACATGAGAGGATCTCGATCCTTTTTTTACAATATACTCACATAATTTAATGATTTTAATTATATATATATATATGAGAGGATATCCATCCTTCTTTAACAACATAATCACAAATTCCCAAGAGTCTCGAATTACAATGACAACGACAGGCACCCAACTTCTGGCCCCTATTGTAAGCAAGTTAACTATAAGTAATTCCTACATATGCTTTAACTAGCTAGCCAATGCATGCATAAACCACCAGTCAACGCACAGGGGCAAAGCTTATAAGGGCCTTTAAACAAGTGCGTGGTGGTGAAGTTTCTGTGTAAATGGATTCCATCAAGGAATGATCGTCCACATGTGAACTTCAAGCCATAGTGGCTGCTTAATGGATTGTAGCAAAACCAAAATATGCCAAAGTGTTTTGCTCCATAGAATTTGGCAAGCTTGGTTTCCATGTCCCAATATGCTGGATTTTTTTATTAAGATCTTAAATTTTTTTTATCTAATTAAAAAATTATATCCTTGTATTGTTGTTATTTCATATCCTAATCAATAACAATTTATCGTGTCATCAATTCAATCATCCAACGTGACAAGCTTTTATTAGCTAGAGTTTATAACGTATACTTACGTAACATATTAGTATTTGAAACAATAATAATATAATAACAGAATTTTTAAATTATAAAGAAAAAAACTTAAAAATATTAATAAAAAAAATTTCGAATGATACAATGTCTCGTCTCCATATACGAAAAACTCATCATATTGCTAGTGTAATTGCATGGTATGCATTTCCTTTCTTGGAACTATGGTAGCCACTCAATGAAGGTGGATGAGGAGGAACACGCTCACATTGGTGTGGGTGGGGGGTGACGAGGATTTGCTACATGAATCAATGAAAGTTAGGCTCTTTCTGGGCTGAAACGTTACCGACTTTGGGAAATTGTCCTTTTTTCTTGTTTTTGGTATGAAACCTTGGAAAACCATACGTAAATATTTGAGATACTTAAAATTTGCAGGTTGAATCCCAGATGAAATTACAACTAGTCAGGTTTTTACAAAATGCACCTTAATTATAGTATTAATCTGAATGATCAAATGTTGTTTCATCCATATTATTCTTATCTAATCAGCATTAATTATGACATCATAACGATCGACAAATAACAATCTATTGTACGTAGACAAGAATATTTGTCTTTCAAATTAGTGTTAGAAGCCATTGGCAACAAGAGAATGGACTAACCTGTCCTTATCTCCATGCAATTTGCCGAAGAACCAAAACAAAAATTACAATTGACTAATACATGCATGAAAATGAAAGTAGCGACGATGATCAATTCATATTGATAAAAAATATTTTTTTCTTATGCATATAAATACCTTTAACATAAAAATTTCAATAAAAATTTTTGTTACATGAAAAATATTTATTCTTGTAGGACTTTATTGCATGCCGAAATTTTAGGGGTAAAATATTTTCGTTAGACTTTGAATTTTCTATAATTGTTTTAAACTTAATTGTTAATTAAGTTAATGATTTTTTTATTTATTACCTTAATTTTAGATAGATTTTTTCTTTAAATTAATATTATTTTTGTGCAATGCTAAATTTAATAACTAACAATTTTAACAAAAAAAATATATATATATGAGAAAAATATAAAGAAAAAATACTAATATAACAAAACAACTTTTTTAAACTATGTAAAAAGTCAAAATGGATGATTTTTTTTGGGACAAAGAGAGTATTATGGAGACCGGGGTACAGCTCATATGTTAGTTGGTTATCTTAGATTAGATTAGCTACTAAATGCAGGCAAGCTAAAGTGGAAAGGGTCATTTGACACCAAATATGACCTATGCAATCTTATAGATGAAGAGGGTTCTTGGAATGATGAATTTTGTTGAGATAAGCGATTTTTAAATGAGAAAATTTGATGCAATTGTCTTGTCAATTGTTTGGTGTTCATATGTCTATTTTGTTTGAAAAACTAAAAATATGAGAATTCACGATGTTAGAGAAGAAAAATCATTACTATTTTAAATAATTTCATTAAGAGTGTGCAAATAAGATTTAAAGACATTTACTTACTAAAACTTTAGAAGATTCTAATATATAGCCTTGTGTATCAGAATTAAAATCTTTCTATTGAGTTTTAAAGAGATAATTACCACAAAAAAAAAAAACTCTCTAAGAAAATCTTATATCTAAAAAACTCATCAATTTATTTTTAAATATTTCAAACCCAAAACAATTTTTTTTTATCAAAATGCCCAATAGTTAACCTTCAACCTAACACTAGTTAACTATTGGGTGTTTTGGTAAGATATATATAAGTTTGAGAGATTTAAAAAATAAATTAATTAGTTTTTTAGATAGAAGATTTTTTAGAGGTTTTTTTAGTAATTATCTAATAATAAATTCATTTCATGGTTTTTAATGAGTTTAATATATATTTTTTTTTCACAATCAAATTTAGGTTCTTTTTTATTGCAATCGAAAAAAAAAAGTTTTCTAAGGTTCTTTGGTCAGCTGATACACTAACCTTTAGCTACTATTTTTTTATTATACTAAACAATTTCCTGTGTAATACATTTTACTTTTTTCTATTGACTATTTGTTTCATTAACTACGAGATTACTTTTACTATCTAGTAACTACAGCATTAGTAATATCTTTTAATTATGAAATGAGACTCATGTTATTCTTTTGTAGTTTAATTTAAAGGTTATCATACAAATAAGAAAAATAAGAATATATATGATTATGAACATTAGTAATATCTTTTAATAGAAACATCATTAGTAATACTAGTTTTTAATTAATCAAAACTCAATATTTTTTATTAAGCAATTAAATTAAATTACAAGATGAATGTATAACATATTTTTGTGTATTCATTGAATAAAACATGATTATCCACAATAAAAATACATATCTTGGAAGATGATGGTTTCATTTAAATTAGGAATAATTACCATAAAACCCTCTTAAAAATTTTTTCATCTAAAAAACCCATCAATTTATTTTTAAATTTTCCAAACACGAAACAATATTTTTCTTATCAAAATATCTTTTAAAATCTTTCAAACCCAAAACAATATTTTTTAATATTTTTCTTATCAATAACTGTTGATTGTTTTGGTAACAAAAATATTGTTTTTAATTTGAGAGATTTTAAAATAAATTGATAGATTTTTTAGATAGAAAATTTTTTAAAAGGTTTTTCTAATCATTATTTCAATTTTAAATGCATTTTTTTTCTGTATCAGTTTCAACAACAAATAAAACTCACAAAGAGATCTCTCAGAATGTAATTTTGGGAAGAATATTCATATAAAAGTCAAGAACACTTTTTTGCTTTCGTTTCTTTTTATCAAAACAACAGTGGAGAATATTTAGTACAAACTTTAGGCACATTGGCATATCCCTTCACTAAATAAAAAAAAAAGAAAGTTCACCCAAAAAGCGTGATAAACTCTTTTATAAAATACGAAGAACTAGACGGGTGGACCCTTGTGGATTGAGACTTTATTATTATTAAATTAAGATATAATTCATTTATTTTTTCGACCATAAAAGAAATCTTAGAATTAATTTAATTAAATGTCAGATATTAAGTTATTTTCAAATAATCTTAAAAAAATATGAATTTATTTATTTCTATATAGAACATATGAATTTATTATTATTATTATAAGTTTATAAATTACAGTAAAAAAAAACTAATTTGATATAATGATGTATTTGAGTAAATTACAAAGCAGTCTCTCTTGTTTCAAGAAGCAAATTAATTAAATTTTTTTTTTCATTTGAAAGCCTAATCATTTAATTTCTTACTGCTAAATTTTGCTAAATTTTCAAATTTTTTTAACATATATACTTATTTATGAAAATATGCTTGCTAAATATGTCAAATTAACACATAATACAAAAAATATATATTTTTTAAAAAATATATGTTTTGGTGTTTGAGATAGAAAAAATGATTGGAGATTAATAAAATAAGAAGTAGAAATTTAAGAAGAGAAATAAAGATTTGTTTTGGTACTTGAGAGGGAGAGAGAGAGAGAGAGAAAATATGTGTGAATGAGACAAATAATATGAAAAAGAAAACAATTTGGAAACAAAAATATTGTAGTTAGAATATTTTATTATTATTTTAATGAAAAATTGATGAAAAAAATTAAACTATTAATAAAATTAAAATATAAATAATTAAATAATTAATTTTTAAAACGAGAGAATTAATTTATTTATTTGTGAAACGAAAGGAAGTAATTTATAATTTAATGTCATAAATTTCGGGTCGTCCAAATCCTTGTGGAAGATTGTCTAGAATCATACCGACCTAATTTTGACTTAACATATGAATTTAATTAATATTTTAATCTTGTGATTTAATTAGCTTAATCAACTGCTCAATTAGTCATTTATTTTTTATTACTTTCCATTTATAAACTGCCCTTTCGCGTTGGATTGGCAATTTGAAGAGAGAATCAGACAATCAAACAGTGACACGTACCCATAATTCACAATCTGTAAGATTAAATTAATGCAAGATCCAACGGTTCAAATTCACATTGGACTGGCCGTTGAAAGAAAAAAAGGAAGGGACATTCACAGTGGCTGAGTAGCGTCTTCTTTCACCTTCCTTTAATAAAGCCAAAGAGCTCCCTCTCTCTCTCTCTCTCTCTCTCTCTGCATTTATATATACACGCACATTAACGTACAGAGTATTGGTATTATATGCTCTGTTGATTTCAGCTCTCCAGTTTTTAACGTCAGTTCTTCTCTCTCTGTAAGCATCTCTCTCTTCTTCTCTTCTTTTAATGGTTTTAAACATTCCATTTCTTTTTCTTTTCTTTTTTTTTGTTTCTCAAGTTTGGTTTGAAGAGCTGGTTTGATTTTTTGATGGAAACTGAATGTTTGTTTTCTTTTTTAAGATAAAAAATAACGGGCATTTGTTAGATTTGCAAATGGGTTTTTTTTCTATTTTCTTTTTTAGTATTTATAGTCTGGTGTCTCTGCTGCATGTGATTTCTGTGTTCTGTTTGATCATTCTAGTTTTGTGTATTTTGATGGTTTTGCAAGTGGGTTTTTTTTTTCTGTGTTTGCATGAACTATATTTTGTGGTTGGTTTCTTGTTCTTTATTCGATGTTTTTACTCATGTAGACTGTGGTTTTGTTAATTTTACTGATTTGATTCTTTCTTTTTTGTCTCAACTGATATGCTTCGATCATATGGTGATTATAATCTCTATGTCTTGGAGGTTTCTTTATTCGTTGTGATTTTCTGCATGAGTTAGATTTTTGTAACTGAAAAATAAAGAAAAAACTTGTATAATGTATTTTTTTTCCCTCTGAATTTTTTTTAGCTCTGTATGGATTTGTGTCTCTTTTGTGATTCATGGGTTGGCTTTGGTATTTTAACCTTGTTATGTATCATTTCACGTTCATTATTAAGAAATTCTTTTTTATTGAGTAATTGTATTTATGCCTTTGTTTGTCTTCCTTGGCTTCTCCCAATCAAGATGATTGTGTTTTGTGGGGGCTGATAACCATTATGATTATGGTTGTATTTTATTTGACTCAGCAACACTGAAAACATGGCTAACAATGACGGGGAAGTGAGCGGGAAACGTGCAGGATTTCCTCCTCTTCTCAATGAAAGGATCCTTTCTTCAATGTCACATAGATCTATTGCTGCCCATCCCTGGCATGACTTGGAGATTGGTAACTCTCCCTGCTTTGTATACCATAGTTATATAAGTAGAGTATGTTTATACAGATACTTCTCTGTTGGCATGGATCCTTTGCTGATAAAACTTTGCATTATTTCAGTTCTTACATCTTCCATTGATCATGCTTTATGTTTCAATTTTTGCAGGACCAGGTGCTCCAAGTGTTTTCAATTGTGTAAGTTCTTTTTTCTCATTTTGTTGCATGGTCATGGAGAACGCACGCATTTACCTCGTAAATTCTTAAGTAACTCTCATCTTCATCTAAGAGAATTATTGAGGTTTGAGAGTGTTTGGCTATGGGTGCATTGGATAAGGAAGTAAACTTGAAATGTCAAGAAATGTACCTGATGAGATGATGCAGAAAATTGGTATATAATCACATTTATGGACTGTTATCCCCCAATGCTAATCGAAATGGGATTCTTGACCATGAAGTCCGGACTTATTTTATATTGCTCTTGCTACATTAAGATACCTGCTTTACTTTGAATTAGATCTTATAGTTGATTTGCGTGACAGGTGGTTGAGATCAGCAAGGGCAGCAAGGTTAAATATGAGCTTGACAAGACAACTGGCCTTATAAAGGTATGATCCCATTCTTCTTTTTTTCTGTCAAATCAGATAATTAATCTTAGTGGCCTTATAAGGGTATGATCCTGTTCTTCATTTTTTCTGTTAATTCTTTACCTTTTCAGATAATTAATCTATTTTTTTTTTTTCTGAACAGGAAATGTAACTATCAAATGCATTCTTTCTGATAATGAGTTTTTCTAACCTTGTTGTTCATGATAGGAAGTAGGATTGCTAATGAATTGGTGGTGAAAAACAGGAAACGCCTTGTTTTACTCTCTCATCTTTCTATTCCGTGTATTGCCCTGCCAAATGGGGAATAGAATGGAAATCCAACCTAATAATGTTGAGTACATTGAATATGTTGTCCTGTTAGACAAAGAAAACACACATAGAGAAAGATGAACCTGTAAGCTACAGGTCTTCTGCAAGGGTCTAAAATACTCTCTCATCTTTCTATTCCGTGTATTGCCCTGCCAAATGGGGAATAGACTGGAAATCCAACCAAATAATGTTGAGTACATTGAATATGTTGTCCTGTTAGACAAAGAAAACACACATAGAGAAAGATGAACCTGTAAGCTACAGGTCTTCTGCAAGGGTCTAAAATCCTGGTATTTTCAGTTTCTTACATGCAATTAATACTGCAATTTCAACTTCTGCATATATCATGTTTTCCTTTGTTTTATGTCCCTTTACTAAGATGAACATGTGCTACTGCTTTGCCATATGTATAGTTTTACTCCCTGTTATGTTACACGAAGAAAAAAACTTATTCCTACTCTTAAGAACAGGTTGATCGTGTTCTCTACTCATCAGTTGTTTACCCACACAACTATGGCTTCATCCCAAGAACTATCTGTGAGGACAGTGATCCTATGGATGTTCTGGTACTGATGCAGGTAGTGTCCTTTTGGCTTAAAAAATTTCATCCAAACAATAATATTGGCTTTAATTTCAAAGCTCAACTACTTTAACAAGTTGTTGATTATTCTTTGCCATAGGAGCCTGTGCTACCGGGTTCTTTCCTTCGTGCTCGTGCAATTGGTCTAATGCCCATGATTGATCAGGTGCAATTTTTAATCTTTCCCGTTTATATTTTTGTTGTCTTACTATAGATTATATTTTCTGAGTAGATAATCTTGATAGCAGATTTTGGGGCTGTTGGGCATGCAAAAGAAAGGGCTGCCTAATGATACCACCTTTTCCTCATATTGTGTTAGATTTTATTGAATATTGTGCCTAGAGCATTTCAGTCTATGAATTGTTCTGCTTGGCCATCTCTATCAAGTCTGAACAGAAAGTGGTACACAAAATTATTTACATATTATGCATTATCCTGGCATTACAACAGCCATATTTTAAGTGGTACATTGGTGGTTGGTTGGGTAAAAAAACAAAAGAATTTCGTCCATTAATCCATTATATTCTGGAAGAAATTCGATAACTCCGAATTTACTGCATATTTGTTCCCCTCGTCTGTATCTGATTTGAGCGTGGAATAGGAATTACCAATCACTAACTAGAATTGCATTGCAGGGTGAAAAGGATGACAAAATCATCGCAGTGTGTGCTGATGACCCTGAATTCGTCCAATGCAAGGACATCAAAGATCTTCCTCCACATCGCCTGGCTGAAATCCGCCGCTTTTTTGAAGACTGTATCCTTTCATACAAGTTCAAAAATTGGTTTACTTGTAGTCATAAGTTTTCTGAAAAATTAGTTCTCCAGCATCGAACAAATTGGCACAACTTATCAATTCTACTACATAGCATTATGCTAACTATCCATTTACAACATCTATGCTGTAATACTGTCAATCTTTTACTTACGATGAAAAACAGATAAGAAGAATGAGAACAAGAAAGTTGATGTTGAAGACTTCTTGCCAGCTGGCTCCGCTGTTGAAGCCATCAAGTATTCCATGTGAGTTCTTTCATATCATACGTAAAAAGCTGCATTTGCTTGTTTTCTATTGATCATAGACTTTCTGGTTTGTATAATAGAGTATTTTTACTTACCATCTTTGTATTCTTTCTCAGGGATCTGTACACCATGATGGATTTCTGGTTTGTATAATAGAGTATTTTTACTTACGATCTTTGTATTCTTTCTCAGGGATCTGTATGCATCTTACATTGTTGAAAGTCTGAGGCAGTGAGTCTGAAGATTTAGTTAGGTGAATTGGCTGCAAATAGCTGAGACACCATTTAGTGTGTAATTCATACGAAGGCTAGACATCTTGATATATGCCCGTTTGAAGTACTTCTAAAATGCTTGTGTGTTTGATATTATGCTTATATCTGATCAATATAAATACCAGATGCTCGTTCCAGCTTCTGGATTTCATTTCAAACGGATCTTGGCTCATAGATTGATTGTTTTCATTTCCTATTTGAGGGATGCTCTATATATTGCTAATGATCAATTAAGTATGCATATTTTTACTGAAAATGAAACTGTTTGCAGAGATTTTTCCTACAAGAATGGGAAGAACTCTAGTTTTTGCTAATTTGGTTGTGTTTAGAGTTTGAACAAAAGAAAGAGGTGAGAATAATTAAAAAAAAAAAATCTCCACAATGCACAAATCGAAATATGATTTATTAACATTGAACGGACGAAATTTTCGAGCATCCATAGCTGTTGTTTATTAGGTTGACAAGTGTTAAAAAAGATCTCGTAAGTCACAAGAAAGCACTAATAAAAATGAAAAATAGAGATATATCAAGACAGAAAAAATGGTAAGAGAACATATTTATTCAGACACAAGATTAATGTTGGAAATTATTGTCCTAATCTTCGGTATGCAAAAAGTGATCCATTTTTTTTTAAAAAAAGCTGTATTTATTTAGAGGAATAAATTATTAATTAGTCTCTTTTGGTTCAAGAAATAAATTAATTAGTTCCTATTATTTTAGAAATTAATTATTTAATGATTTACATATCAATTTTGTCACTGATTTAATAATTTCATCATTTTCATGTTAGATTAGTAAAAAATAAAATTGAAATTATTTTTTCTTTAATGTCTTATTTATCTTCTTCATTTACTTCATTTTTCTCTTCTCGATAAAAAATTAAAAAAAATTGGGAACAAAAATCGCTTAACTAACGAAAAACAAATGAAAAAGCTAAATTATTAACAGAATTAAAGTATAAGAAATTAAATAATTAGTTTTTAGGAAAAAAAAACTAATGAATTTATTTTTCTTAACGAGAGGGATTAATTTATAATTTAGTCGGTGTAAATGAAAAACGAAAAAAAATAAAAATAAATGAATATTGATATGGAGCAATAAGGAGACGAGAACGACGTGGCGTAAATGCCTAAAGCCTAACTACACCTGAAAAACGAAACACGTGGCGAAACCACAAAAGGTCAATGTAAAAAACTGCAGGAAAGCGATCCGTAGAGAAGATGCCACTCGTGTAGGGCACACGCAGAGGCGTTTTGCTCATTTCTCAGCTTCTACAGTAGTTGTCTCTCATTTCTTCTTCAAATGCTAATATAATAGTATTCTCTTCTTTGAATTGAAACGAAAGCAAAAAAAGAACCAGTGAATCAAAATCTGAGGTGAAGATGGGGACGTTAGGGAGAGCAATCTACAGCGTAGGATTCTGGATCCGGGAAACTGGTCAAGCTCTTGATCGCCTCGGTTGCCGTCTCCAAGGCAACTACTACTTTCAGGAACAACGTGAGTGTTTTCAGCTATGCATATGCGAATTCAATATGTTTTTTAGTTCAATTTAATTTATTATTTCTCATTAGTTCCGATTCAGAAATTTGTGGAATTTATTTATCTGTTTGTGATTGTAATTTTTTTTTTTATCAATTTTTGAGTTCAAGACTGGAGCAAAACACATATAAATCGTAAATAGGAAAAGTAGAAAAATAACTGGCTTTTTTGCTTTTGCTTCTTTTTTTTTAGTATAATTTACAGCATTATTGTATTTTGTGTATAAATTTCGGGCATAGCATTTTGTTTGTTATTTGTTTTATTGATAAAATTTGTAAGAGAGGGTCTATTGTTTGATTAAATAGTCTCTAGGCATCGGACGCTGATGAATGTATTCGATAAAGCTCCTGTTGTTGCAAAGGATGCCTTTGTAGCCCCTAGTGCATCTATTGTTGGTGACGTTCACGTCGGAGGAGGTGCTTCTATTTGGTATGGCTGTGTTTTGAGAGGTAAGTTGCATCACCACCACAATTTATTTGTCTTACATTTTGGGGGAAAAAAAAATTCTCTCCCTCCCCTTTTCGGTTTTTATTTCAGTTATCGTCAACGAGCTTAATGTTTAGAAAAAAGATGCCAAGTGAATGGTTTCAAGCTTGATGTCAGAATTTAATGCAACAGGATTATGCTTTAGTTTAAATTATTACATATTTGGATTTTGAGTTATAGACAAATAACCTCAAGTTCACCGAAGAGTGTGTCCGCTTGTAATGTATCATATGCTGCTGGTTCTTATCCGAGGCTTCATCTGTGTAGGTGATGTTAACAGCATCAGTGTTGGGTCTGGAACCAATATACAAGATAATTCTCTTGTTCATGTAGCAAAATCTAACTTAAGTGGAAAGGTTTTACCAACTATTATTGGGGATAACGTTACTGTTGGTAAGTCATGCCTGATCATATTCTGAATGAAACTATCATAGTCCTGCCAAGGGCGTCGCATTCAAGGATCTTGGCTTATGATTACAATTTTGAAACGGACAGGTCATAGTGCCGTTTTACATGGATGCACTGTTGAGGACGAAGCATTTATTGGTATGGGTTCAACCCTGCTAGATGGGGTTTATGTTGAGAAAAATGCCATGGTTGCTGCTGGAGCTCTTGTGAGGCAGAATACAAGGATTCCCTGTGGAGAGGTCTGTGAACTGTTCCCCGTTGATTTTCTTGGCTTTTTTTTTTTTTTTCCCTTAAGCCTGCAAACTCTCATCCATCAAATTTCAATTCCTGTTTCTATGGAATTTATGCTTGACATGAAGTATGGCTAGGCAATACAAAACTTGAGTTTGTTGTCGTTTAATGTTTAATTTTATTGCCTATGTGGTAAAATGTCTCTTTGAAACCTATGCGTTGACAATGCCAGTCATTATTTTGGTTTTAGTGATTACAAAGTCTTGTAGTTTCTTGGCATAAACGGTATCCAGTGGGTATATAAACAAATAAAGCATTTTCTAGTAAGATAAATCTCTAATCTTTCAGTTACTTTGGTGAGCAATTAGCTATTTCTCCCTGTCTCCATGCAGAAGTAATTGACCTTGTCTCGTAGATCACATTTGCAAATTCATTTCAGTTGAATGATTCAAAATGCATACATGTTTTGAAGAACCTTCCATGCAGCTACTTGCATCTCTCTGGCCTGGACTTCTGTATTTTACTGTTATTCCAATATCATGCTGATGTTGCCGTTGTACACGTATTGCTTAGTCAAGTGGAGGGGCTGCATCTGGATTAGAGCCAAAATACCTCACTATATGTGATTCTTGTTTTACCTTCTTCTTCTTCTTCTTCTTTATATGGCTTTGGATGAGATCTTGATTACAAAGTAAAGGTATCTCTTTAATGTCAGGTGTGGGGAGGCAATCCAGCTAAGTTCCTGAGGAAGCTCACAGAAGAAGAGATGGCCTTCATCTCCCAATCAGCCTTAAATTATGCCAATTTGGCACAAGTTCATGCAGCAGAAAATGCCAAGGACTTCGATGAAACTGAGTTTGAGAAGTTGCTCCGCAAGAAATTTGCTCGCCATGATGAAGAATATGATTCAATGCTTGGAGTTGATGGCGAAACACCTCCAGAGCTTATTCTTCCCAATAATATAATGCCAGACAAAATGCCAAAGGCTGCTTGAACTTTGATCATTCCATTGTAGGTTTCTCCTCCTGAGATTCATGTTAACCTATATTTTGTTCTGTTGGGGTTTAAAGAGATGGCTGCTTTTCATTCCAATAACTTTTGGGGTTGCTAAGGTCAAATTATACTGCACATTTCAGGCGTATAGCTATGCTCATCCTCTTTGTTTCTGAGACTTGAACTTATAATTTTTGAGGAAAAAGAGCACAACATCTTTGTGTCCATAGTGGCAAGCCTAGCTTGCTACTTCTAGGAGGGGTTATCGTTAATGGCAGAATGAATGATTTGACATCATCTTCGTGTCCATAATGGCAAACCAGTTAAAAGCTAAGGAAATGATCAATGACTCAATGATGTCTGTTCGTCAGTTGGAAGTAAAAACCCACGAATTGTTTTCTAGCATGGTAAAAAAACATAAGGCAACAATATTATGGAAGTGCTTTAGACCCCCAAAAAAAAAAAAAAAAAACTGCTCTGATCTTTGGATCAGAATCCAACATCCAATTAGGCCCACCTTAGCCAGTTCGAAACACAAATGAAAGCAATCTTATTCTGTTGATGGTTGCCAGTTGCCACAACGGTTTGGTTTCAAACAGTGAAGCTTCCTGCCCACAGGTTGTCCCCTGTCTCTCACTCGGTGTAATATATATATATATATATATATATATATAGATATGTACACTAGGGTTCCATGCTTCATGTCCCATCAATATATATATATATTTTTTGTCAAACCATTGGTTTAAAGATATATTATTCATATCAATCTGAAATATGCAATAAATTTAATAAATATTAATCTCAAAATTTGAATTTTGAAAATTAAAAAAAAAACAAATTGATTATAAAATACCCTGAATTATCGTTCAGTATGAAAAAAAATCCAACTTTTTTTTTTCTGATTTGAGCTCTCAATTTTTTTTTTTTTTTTTTGCGATTAAGTTTTTTTTATTATTAATTAATTTCAGAAAACATGTTAGACGTACGTAAAAGATATACAGAACTATCAACAATAACAGATGTCGTGTATTTAAAATTTTCAAAACATATGATATTGTTATAATAACTTTACATGTTTTTCTAAATATTTTAAAATTAATCAACGAAATAAAAAAAGCATAATTACAAATAAAAAATCTATAGATTTTTTTTAATCAATAGTTCAATATATTTTACAATCAATTAACCATGATCATCGCAAGAATATTCAACTTTAATTAACTGTCCTCCATGTAAAATCACTGCAGGCCTTGACCTTGCCAGACCTGACCTGACACATTTTGAAACATTCAACATGAAAAATATGCTCTCCCACTCACCAAGTTGGGGCCAAGTAGTACAGCTTCTTGTTAATTTTCCTTAGCCATGGCTTACCAATCCTTTACTGAATTCCTCAAAATTGTAGTACTACTAATATAACTCATATCTGTTTGTATAATTAAATCAGCCTCAATGTCCAAGTATCATGTGTTGTATTGTGCCCCCCACTAAGCATGCTGACCAAAACTCAAATAAATGTTTAATAGTACTTTGTATAGAGCAAAAAAGCATCTTATTATAATAATCCCACTGTATCTTTCTTAACCCATTTCATGAAGATTTTCAAAACTCGAAAAAACTCATACTAATACCATCAAGTTATTCGTGTGACGGTAAATAAGTTAGTCTTCATATAAGGTTTTTTATCAATATATAGGATTCGAATTTTAAAATCATACTTATTAAAAAAAAGTTAAAACCTTATCGTTTCCATCTTAGAAGAATGACTTTAGTGAAAATGGCTCGTCGCTTAAGCAAATGGTCTCGAGTTCGAGTCTTTGTGTATATAAAAAACTTAAAAAAAAACCTATAGTAATACCACCAAGCTATTGGTCTAGCAATAAACAAACTAGTCTTCATGCAAATTTTTAATCAATATATAGGATTCGAATCTTAAAATCGTACTTGTTAAGAAGAGTTAAAACCTTGTCGTTTCCACCCTAGATGATTGGCTTGAGTGAAAATAGCTCTAATTACTTAAACAAATAGTCTCAAGTTTAAGTCTTTGTGTTGAAAAAATTCATATTAATACCACCGAGTTATTGATCCACTAAACAAACCGATCTTCATACAAATTTTTTATTAATATATAGGATTCAAATCTTAAAATCGTATTTGTTAAGAAGAGTTAAAATCTTGTCACTTCCACCATAGAGGGTTGACTTGAGGGAAAAGAGCTCTAGTTGCTTAAGTAACCGGTCTCGAGTTCGAATCTTTATATATGTAAAAAACTCTTTGAATAGTTATTTCTGCTTTGTACATTCGACATAATAACAAAAGATTAGTTTGAATTTTTAAATTTAGGATATATATATATATATATATATAAGTTGTCATTTCCATCTAAACCTCGTAGTAATACTACTAGTATGCATTGATTATCACACCAAAGAAAAATATTGTAGTATTTAATTATTGAACAAACATATTGATTATGAAAAAATAACTCCAAGAATGATGACTTTTTTGATAAAGTGGGAAACACTAGGGGCCCAGAACGGCTCCTCTCTCTCTCTCTCTCTCTCCTCTCTTTTGGCATTGGTAATGGTAATTGGCTTCAGGCTCAGCTCATTTGGAAAAAAAAATAAAATGGACCCCGTTTATGATTTTCAATTATTCAGACTTTATTTTGTTTTTTTCCTTTGCTTTTTGCTTCATTTAACACTCAAAATTACTGATGCACCCATCCTATTCATACACGCAGGCAGCAGCAAGCCCTCTGGACTATGGATTGGTCACCGGATCCCAACAAAACCAAAAGATTAAAAGCTGAACCACCTGAAAAAGAGGGAGCATTTTGAATCTTCTTTTGTACTTTAAGGACTGCTTTATGTTTTATATTTGGGTTCGCACAGGAATGTATTGTACATTGAGGAATAGAATACCAATTTCCTCTTATACCCTTTAAACCTTTCATTAATTTGTTTAGACTAATTACTTATGAAGAATCTTGGACTATTGGTAATTGGGACATTTAATATTTTTCTTAAAATGCAATTAAGTCTCTTTGTTTTGTTAATCCATCAATCTTATGTCTTGTTAGAAGCACATGAGAGATACATGAAATCATAAAATAACAATACGTGTTATATGTTTAGAACTTTCGAACATATGTTAAAGATTAGTATAAATTATATTTTAGGATCTCACCTATCGACTTAAGCTTTGAGGTGAGATGGTTCTTTAATATGGTATCGGAACTTGGTTGACCTTCGGATCCCGAGTTTAAGTCTCATCATCCCCAATTTCTCAAGTATTAAGCACAAGGCAATGTAGACTCGTGCAAATTTCATGCCCCAAATGTTGGGTCTTTTACTTGAGAGGGTGTGTTAGAGATTAGTATAAATTATATTCTAGAGTCTCACCTATCAGCTTAAACTTTTAGGTGAGATGGTCCTTTAATAACATATGACATTGTTTTAATGACTTTAAGTTGATAAAAAAATTTAATTGCAAAAACAAAAAAAAAATATTAGAGATCTAAATTTTAAAAAAAATCTTTTTTTTCTTTTAACATATAATTTAAAGTACTTTATAAACAATTAAGTATTTGTTTATCTTCGATAAATCTTTACCAGAGCATAACTGAATTTTTATATGACAAAAAGAAACAGCCAGTGTGGGCTAGATTGGGGACAAATGCCAAAGTAATTAAACTAAAGAAGATACTGGCATTGTTTGGCTAAATTACATTCTGATTCCAAGAACTTAATTTTATCCTTTTTATTATCTTGTCTGCAAGAGAGAGAGGGAGAGAGTGTATCCTAGAAGGACAATACTATTAGAAGTAAATCTTCCAAAACAAGGGAAGCATGATTTTCTGACTCATGAATGTGTTTTTGGAGACATCTTTTAAAAAAATATTCAATGTATTATCTTACTTTGATTTCGCAAAAAGTGCAAGTCAAGCTTGTATACATGCATTCTGTTTGTTCTGGGTGTCTTTGAGCTCTTGTTCTAGCAAAAAGCCGAAGTCCAGCCAGATGTTGTCATACTTTGCAATTTTGGTCCCTTTTTTTAAATTAAAATTAAAGTACATACTCAAACTTAACTGTATGATCAATAATAACAGCAGCGATGTTGCTCTTAAAGTTTAAGGACTATCATATCATCACCATATATAATTGTATAAGTGTTATAAGTTTTATCTTTTGAACTCTAAAACTGATATAGCAGTATATATATTTTTCTAACTAAAAGCATAATATTATTAAATTTAATCAAGCCAAACACTTCTTCGTATGCTAATCACCATCAAATCCTCACTAGATTTTTTATTCGATTTTCTGATCGACTTGTAATGAGACTCGTAGAAGTCTCTTATATTGATATTGATAGACTAAAGAAATTTTTTAATACATCGGGAGTAACTCAGTGGCATGTACGGTAGTTACTCAATTGGTCTACTTTGAAGAAAAAGATAGACACATAAAAAAAGAAATTACATCTATACCCATAAAAAAAATGATTGCATATGTGCTAATAATATGGAAAATGGATATATGGGAGGTTATTACACAAAAAAAGATCAACATACCCTCATCCTATACAAGTTGATCATCTTTTTTACTATAAAAAAGTTAACACTAAAATGTTTTAAGTTCTGTCTTCTAAACCCTAAAACTAATATATTAGCATATATTTTCTTCCAACTAAAAGCAAATATTGTTGGTGCTTGTAAAATCTCCCGACCATATGTTAACTAACTTTATAAAAAGTCAGTTATGTAGCAACCAGATTTTCATCGTAGGTAACATGATGAATAGCTTGCATGAAATTAAAAACTCTGGCATGTAGCGGGTCCAAACCCAAACTCAAAATGTTGTTTTTTATTTAGGAGAGGGCCATGGGGTATTAATTTTTGGCCAAATCATACCAGTATGTGTAATGTGATGGTTTGCCTCCAATGGGGACAGTTAGGAATTCCTTAATGGTATAATCTAGTACCGTCACCATCAAAAACCTTCTCAGAAGAGATGGCATGCATGTCCTTGATAGCCAGTCCACGTTGTTGACATGACCGTCTAGGCCATTATTAGTATAATCTTTCTTGCTCGTTCTAGTAACCCTAGAGGCCAGCGTGCTTGCTTAGTAAAATAATCACACCCTTTAAACATTAACAAAGAAAATTTGTTAGATAGCAATATATTCAAACCCTTTACGTTGAGAGACGATAGCAATACATTCTATCTCTCGTCAGATAAATGATTAATTCTATTCAAAACGAGAGTAGCAAATTTTAATTCATACCAATAATTATAATTTTAAAATTCAAACTTCATACGTTGATAGAAAATTCATTTAGAGATTAATTCGTTTACCACTATAACAATAATTAATTTTTTTAATTTTAATTTAGAAAAAAAATTGAATGATATAGTTAAGAACCGATAAGAAGAAATGTAATAATGGCAGACATAAATTATTCCAAGATGACTCTGGGATGTTAAAAAATTATAATATATGATATGCATGTGGATTGCAATTTAATGCGATGAACCTAATTATCAAACTTTTTTCTCAAGGTAGGAAGGACTTATCATAATTGATTGCATAGAAAATTATACATGTTGATTCAACAACCACACATTCTCTTTGATTCTATTCGCTGTACGTACATTCATTTAATGATTAAGACCATCCAACTGGAAATCCCATAATCACACACATAGTTATTTTAATTATGTCCATGCATCAAGTTGGGTCCAATTAAATTTCACACCACTAAACACAAAATTAGATCAATGCTTATAATTTGTTATTTTTATTTTTTGCAGATTAAAAACTTCAATGTTGGTATCAATAAGTTGTTGACCTTATAGTAAACGAATTGATCTCCAAACAAATTTTTCGTCAACATACATACTCGAATCCTGGAGTCATATCTATTGAAAATGAATAAATTTTGTCGCTCTCGTTTCAAGCATGATTATTTTTATTTCTAATGTGATATGAGAATACCTAAAAAAAAAAAAAAAAAACCTCAATGTTGGTTATTATACAAACTACTTGTACTTTTAAGTTAATTTCAATATCATCCGTCGTTGCTATCGGGAAATTTATCTTATCCATTGTAGTAAATTTCAATAAATGATATGGGAAATTGTTGGTATATATTCTTGTTTAATCTGAGTTTTTTCCCCTTCTATATATGATATTTTGGAAAACTCATTTTCAGTTCTACTTGTAATTTTTTTTTTTTTTAATGTAAAAGAAGATATCCAGCCCATTTGACACCGTTAATTTTCTATATTTATATGCAAATTGCTCGTACAAATCCACGTCAAGGAAACAGGAACCAGATTCTGTAGGATACGGCACAGATTTGAAATTATTTGCCTTGTAATGGTGACAAACTCATAATTGAGAAACATAAATAATCTATGCATTTGGTGGGATGTGTTCTAGGGGTTAGGAAATTATTTTTGTATGGCTAAGACTAAGGTTTAATTTTTATTATTTATAAATAATCAGTTATAATTATTTTTTAATGATATCTAAAATTTATACTGATTTAATCTAAAAAACAGTTTAGCAATGAACTAAATATTAGAAATATTATGGCAATAATTTAACCAGAAGAATATAAACCTAGTATCCATTGACATGAAATCTAACTCGTGAATATATATATATATGGCAAAATTTTATCTCCAAAACCTCTATTTTTTATTTAAACAGTGAATGATAAAGTGAAATAACATACCCACATCTGGATTAAGCATATCAAGATATATCTAATACACTCAATCAGCAACCCAATTCCAAAAAAATGAAGAGAACACTTTGGGATTTTCCCACTCTCAAGTCACACCAAAAAATGTCCTTGAAATGGACTTTATTGAGTCACAAGTTACCACCCAATATTTGTCCGTACATGCATATTTGCTCAAGAAATACTAAAAATCAAATGCGTACTTCCAAGCAAAGCCCGTGCAACTTCTTCACAAACCAGCATAGAGGACAGGGCAGTGTGCATGAGGTCACTTGTCTCTATCCTTTTTTTTTTTTAATATATTAGGTTTTTTTAAGTAAGAATGTTGTCGGATCAGTTTTTACGCACTTCAAGACTAATCACTCTTGGACGCAGCTAAAGAGCACTCTTCAACATATAGCTTCGGAGTATTTTGAGAATAAATTCTTAGAAGTAATGCTATAAGAATTGAACTCTGAATCTGATTTACAAGTCAAAACTTGCTTATCAACGAATTACTTCATTGTGTTTAACATATTAATTCTTTTTGTTTAGAAAAACGAATTAATTAGTCCTTTATTTTTAAAAATAATCATTCAGTTTCTATGATTTACTTTCATCAATAATTTAATAATTTTATCAATTTTTTATTAAATTAGTAATTTGTGTTATCAAATTGTCTTTTTTTTTTTTAGTTAAGAAAAGTAAAAGAAAGCGGATGAAAAAAAAGACATCAAAAAAAGAACATTAAAAAAAAAACTAATTTAACATAAAATTGATTAAATTAGTGACGAAATTAAACCCTAGAGGCTAAATAATTAGTTTTTCTTAAAATAATTAATTTTTTTCTAAACAATAAAAACTAATTTATAATTTACTCCATATATATATATATATATACTCTTTGGTTTTCTATGGATACCCAAGCAATAGTATTTTCACATTTGTGTGTACACAAATGTTTTAGGACAGTTTGGTAGCATCACAACAACACTGACACATTCAAACCTAAAATTCCTGTAATGCCTCCAAAACCTAAGAGCCTCACATAATCAATACCCACTCCATTCCTTTTTCCCGCGTTGGTACCGGCTACCGTCTCCTCTCTTCCGATTCTTTGTTTCAAAATCGCCGATTATTACCTCCAAACTTCACTTTCGTCGCAATTTGAGAAATTACTTTTTGGTCCATGCTGTTTTTTAATAATCCAAAGCTTTTATTTTTTTAATCCTAAAGCCCATGCAAATCCCTTTTTTGTATTTAAAGACTTCTGCTTTTCCCACTAAAAAACATAAAGAGAGAAATAAAGTGGATAAAAAAGAAAAATAGAACATAAAAAAAATTTAAAAAAAAATCATTAATCTAATAAAAAATTAACAAAATAATTAAATTAATGATAAAATTAAAAAATAAAGAATTAAATAATAATTTTTTAAAAATTATTAATTAATTCGTTTTTCAAAAACAACATGGACTAATTTATCTTGTGAGATATATATATATATATATATATATATATATTTTCACGTTTCGTCAATTTTTTATTTATTTTAAGTTTGATAATTTATTAAAATTTTGAATTAATTGAGGACTAAATTTCTTTATATTTTGGGTGACTTTACTACATATAAAAAAAATTATGCTACTAAATAAAGCTCAATTGTAAAATATTCTCTTTGAATTTTTGCAAAAAAAAAAAAAAAAAAAAAACTCTTTAAATAAAAACAATTCTTAAATTTTCCATCCTAAACGATATAATTTATTTTGCTTCTAACTAAGTAACATAAATTGACGAAAAAGCCAATAAAAATTCTCTCATTTTCTCCATCTCTCTGCAACTCATAATAGGAAAAAAAAACAAAATTACGCATCTTCTTCTTCTCTCTTCTTCTCTTTTCAGCCACTGATTCTAAGTTTGTAAATCATAAAAGAAAAGAAAAGGCAAAGAAAGTTCCGCAAACCTCTATAATAAACCTAAATTGAAAGTCCCAATTAAATCTGGTAAAGGAATTGACAAAGATTGTGGTGAGCGTATGAATTGATTATCGCAGAGTAGGTGTTTGTTAAATGGCCACCAAGAATTTGTGCACTAACGGGTCAAGGAGAGAGAATCCATCAAATTGCAAGGCTTAGATTAAGGTGTCAGATTTGATAAAGATGAAAGCTTGTAATGGGTTTGTCAGATTTGATAAAGATGAAGCCACAGTCATTGCAAGTGGTGGCTATGAGCTCAATTTACTAAATTTAGTGGAAAGGCAGCAAAGACGCATTCTGCAAATGGGTTCTCATTCGAGGAGGTGATTGTTATTCATGGATTTTTAATTTTGGCTTCATTTCTCCCTTCTTTTAATTATGAGAAATTCTCAATTCTAAGAAAATCACTAAAAAGAACCTCATTTCCCCTCGCTGAAGGTGGCGCTGCCACCGACGTGGGTGGTGGTGTCAGTGGTAGTGGCTGGTTCTGTTTCAGAACGGGGTTTGTATGGACAATTTGCTTGAATATTTGGATTTTTTTTTCTTTTTTTGGTTTAGTCTTTCGATGAAATTATAATAGGAGGAAAAATCAAAAAATCATTTAAGATGGAAACTCAGGGATATTTTTTTGTTTAGGGATGTATTTGTTTTTTTCTAAAGTTTAGGGGGCATTTTAACATTTAGCCACCAAACAATTAGGACTTTGAAGATACTAATAGCATCTCCAATGGTGCTCTTTACTTTTAACTAGCATTTTTAATGTAAACAGAGAGTATCATTAATTATATAGATAGAAGATCAATATCCTCTCCAAGAGCATCTCCAATGCTCTCTTTATATTAAGATTTTTTTTATAATAAAGAGGCTTGATCCAAATTTCATCTCCAATGCTCTCTTTATCACAATCTTTATCTTTAAAATTAGTATAAAGAGTGTCTTTGGCTCTCCAATACTAGAGAGTCCAAATGACTCTTTATCTTATATTTTATTAATGAAAATTACTATTTCCAATGCCACTCAACCTCTTCACCAATAGCCTCTATGGGTTTTATAGATTTTATCAAAATAAAGAGTTAAATACAGAGTAGCATTAGAGAGGGTATTGATCTTCTATCTATATAATTAATGATACTCTCTATTTACATTAAAAATGCTAGCTAAAAGTAAAGAGCACCATTAGAGATGCTCTAATGCTACTCTCTATTTAACTCTTTATTTTGACAAAATTTATAAAACCTATAGAGACTATTGGTGAAGAGGTTGAGTGGCATTGGAAATAGTAATTTTCATTAATAAAATATAAGATAAAGAGTCATTTGGACTCTCTAGTATTGGAGAGCCAAAGACACTCTTTATACTAATTTTAAAGATAAAGATTATAATAAAGAGAGCATTGGAGATGAAATTTAGATCAAATCTATTTATTATAAAGAAAAATCTTAATATAAAGATAGCATTGGAGATGCTCTAATACCCTATAGCCTCCTTTTTCAAATTTTGGAAAGAGAAAACTTTATTGCAGTTACAGAATAACGTTGGTGTCCAATTTTGTCAATTCACAAACTAACTTTTCTCTTTCCATGTTCGTTTTGATTTCACTTTCTTCTTTCTGCTGCTCTGATTCTGCAGAGAGCAAGAAACAGTATCAGAACAAATAATAAAAGCAAAGCCAATGAACCCCAAAAACACTCTTCAAAAACCCTAAACAATCTCTCTTCTCTTCTCTTTTCTTTTCTTTTCTTCTCGTCACTTTCATGGAAAACCTCACACATTCTCAACACCCAAGCATGCTCTCCAAAAGACCCTTCACCAAACCCAGCAAAACTGTTTACGACGACGTGTTTGGTGGCCCACCTCGTTTTGGAGCAGCCCCAACACTGTCTCCTCGAGTGGAAGACTACAGCGAGATATTCGGTGGGTTTCACGCGCCACATGGAGCTTCCTCGTCGATACCAGTGCTTGATCTCCCGTTGGTAGACAATGAAGTAGCTGAAGATGTTTTCTTTGATGTTAGAAGTTGTTCTGGGTTTGACTATAATGAGGTTTTTGGTGGGTTTAATGGTTCTGATTTTGCTGTTTCGTTGGAGGACTTAATGGTGGAGCAATCTAACGGCCGTGATGTTTCCTCTGATGAAGCTTGGTATGCTTATTTTGTGCTTTTAAACTTGTTAGCTTTTTTAAGTTTTACTGGGGAATTTTTTTGGACTAAAACATAAAAATATTGTTTTTTTTAGTTGTCTTGTTTGTTTTTCAAGTATGTGGATGTGTAGTCATTGTTGTTTATTTTTATTTTTCTTATTTTTTAGTTGTCTTGTTCCTAGCGTAATTTCTGTTGTTTTAGTATTTTCCGCTTTTTCAAAGCTAAGTTGAACTTGTGAATTTTTTTCCTTTTCTGTGTGGCGATTTAAAGTGTAATATTGTATATGGAATGCTACCATGAGGTAAACTTTATGATGTTTAATTTTGAAATTTTAGCTTCAGTGATAATAGATTTTAGTTTGATCACGAATACATTGGTGTTTTGTGAAGTTTAAGCCTGGATGATTAGATGGTCTGAGGAGAAATTTGAGTTATTTTCTAAAAATATGAGGGTTTTTTTAATGGAATTGAGAATGACTTTTTAAGTATACTTGGAGGATTTTAGTGTATGCAAGCATAGGTGGAAGCTTCTGCAAGGAGTTTGTGCCCGTTGAAAAATCAGGAATTGTGTTTATTTTGAAAATGATTAGTTAGTCATGAAAATCTTGATGCTTTGGTTGCAAGCTGACGCGGTTGTCCCCATGGGAAATTCCTGGATGTTTATTTTATTTAATTTCTTGTATTGTTTTGTGGGTTCTATATGTTTGTTTACATTGAGTAAAAAGTAAAAGCATCTTAATTGGTATCCCCAAGCAAGATAGAATTTGATAGTAGAATGTGGTTTTTCTGTTTACTCATTCGTAGGACACCAGAAGACCCTGAATATCTATCAGAAGAGTCAGATAATTCTGCAAAGAACCAATGCTTGTCGAGTGGTTACTCTCCCGAGTCCATTGATGGGAGCATGGAATTTAACATATCATATCATAAAGCTAGTCAAAGCAGCAACAAAGATATGTCAAATGGGATCACGCATGTGACCCAGCTACTTGATGTTCCTGGGTATGCTTTTATGGTTGATAAAAACATGTCTTTGCCAAAGACAGATGATGAGTACCCACCTCTGCAGGTGAGTGATGATGGCCATCTCAATATTGATTTCACTGGGGAAATGATGGGGGGAAAGAAGCTTAGAAAGACCATGTCACATCCGGCTAATGGTAGTGCTGATGGGCTAGTTTTTGGAAATGAAGTTAGAACTTATAAGGAATATGTCAGAAATGGATCCCTTCCTAATGAGACGTTTGTAACAATTTCTGATGTCAGCCTTAAAACTCGCCCCTCTCAGTTGCCACCACCTTCTAGACCACCGCCTGCATTAGATGTCAAAAAGAGAGATTCTTGTAAATCAACTCCAAACTGTCAAAGTGTTTCTTCTTCAGGGAGTGCTGGTGATAATTCTCCACCTTTCTTTGATGTAGAGGTAGATGCAAGTTCCTCTGCTGCAGTCTCTGCTGCTGCTATAAAAGAAGCTATGGAGAAAGCTCAAGCCAAGCTGAAAAGTGCAAAAGAATTGATGGAGAGGAAGAGGGATGGTTTTCAAGGCCGTACAAAATTGGGTTCGAAGAATGACAGAAAGGATAGAGAAGGTAGGGTGGTTAAGATTGTTGATGTGTCTGGTAGAACAAAATATGAAGGGGTGCAAAGCACTTGTGAAAGAGAAGAGAATGGAATTGAGGAAAGACAGAAGGTTACAATTCCAGATTCATTAGAAGGGAAAAGGCATCTAAATTCAGTAAAAAAATCATCTGATGAGAAGCATGGAAGAGAAGCCTTGTCATCTCAAGGATCTGATAAAAATGATGAAGCTGGAGAATGGAAAGAAGCTACTCAATTTTTTGAACTGGTGAGAACAAATGTACCCAGAAAAGTTGTTGACTTGGCAAATTATGATGACATTTTTCTGCAGAACACAAACATCCATGAACAAGAGCAGATGATGAAAAAGGGAGCCACAGAAGCATTACAGCAGCAACAAGAAAATGGCAAGAAAGTACAAGCAGTTTCAGCAGATCATGAACTGGAGGAACATGCAAAGAACCCCAACGTACCAAAACCAGCTTGTGACGTGGGGGGAGCAATGGGAGATCAGAGGCTGCTAAAGTGGCACACAGAGAGAAAGGGCTTGAGAAGAAGGTACCAGTGGCTCAAGAGTTTTATAGAGTAAAGGATGAGGAGAAATTTAGAATGGATAAGCAGTCTTTGGAAGCTGAAAAGAGACAAACCAGAGCTAATGGGTCACAAAAACATGGCAACATGGGAGAGGTTCCACGAGCACAAAGTAAACTTGAAGTTAAGCAGACTGCAGAGGACAAGGAGAAAGAGTCTCGTCCAAAAGAGGCTATTAGAAGTGTGGAGAATGAGAAACGATCCATTCGTAAAAAGGAGGGCGGCGAAAGGAGACAAAGGAGCACCTTTGAGCAGGAAGAAAATGAAAAGAAGCTTAAAGCAGCTCTTGAACAAATGGAAAATGACAGAAGGCTGAAGGAGGCATTGGAACAGGAAGAAAAGGAGAAGAGGATAAAGGAGGCTCGTCTGAGGGAAGAAAATGAGAAGAAGCAGAGAGAGGCTTATGAAAAACAAGAGGAGGAAAAGAGATTAAGAGCAGTGCTTGAGCAGGAAGAAAATGAGAGGAGACTGAAAGAGGCTTTGGTGAAGGAGGAGAATGATAGGAGACTGAAAGAGATTCATGAAAAGGAAGAGTTTGAGAGGAGACTAAGAGAGGCTGCTGATAGGGAGGAGAATGAGAGGAGACAAAGAAAAGTTCGGGAAAGAGAAGAAAATGAGAAGAGACTAAAAGAAACTCTTGAGAAGGAAGAGGATGAGAAGAGATTACGAGAGAATGAAGGGAGGCTGAGAGAGGCTCATCAAAGAGAAGAGAATGAGAAAAGAGTGAAAGAAGCTCTTGAGCATGAAAATAAGAAAAAGCAGAAAGAGCTTAATGAAAGAGAAGGAATTGAGAAGAAATGTAAACAGGTGTTTGGAAATGAAGGGATTGAAGAGTCTCTAGAACGAGAAGCAACTGAAAAGCGACTAGAAGAGACAAATGAACAAGAAGAAAGTGGTAAGTTAAGAGAGACTCCAGAGGGACAAGAAAGTGAACTAGGAACATGCAAGTCAGAAGAAACTGGGGATGCATCCCAAGAGACCAGCAACTTGGAAAACAATGAGGTGAAGCATAAGGATGACTCAGAGAATGATAAACTATGGATTCTAAATGATATGGGAGAGAACTGCAGGGTGATGAAGCAGGCATGTAAGCTGAATGGCAATAGGGACCTTGGATCAACTAGATTAACTGGCAAACATGAGGGGAAGAATGGAAAACAAGAAGTGACAGGGGAGATTGCTCATGAAGAACTTGGCAAGGTACCTCCAGGGCTGAAAATTGGCGAAAAGGAAGCAGCGGTTGAAATAGTTAATTTGCAGGTTAATGGAAAAACAAAAGTGTCTGGCGTGGCTCAAGGCAGCTTAGAACATGAAAAGCATCAATCCGTTGTCGAAGATGATGCAGTGTTCGTTTATGGTGATGAAAGGATGAGGAAAGCAGGGGAAGCTGGAAATGGCACTGGACAAAAGAGCTTAGAGAAAACTAAGAAAGCCTCCCAAATAGAATCTGATATTGCAAATCAAGGGAAGGAATTTCCTCAGGATAGGGGTGACAGAAGAAAGAATATCCCTCAGGCAGTTGCTATGAATCATGAAGGCAGAAAGGACAATTTCATGTCAAACGGAGCAGTGAAAAAATCAGTTGAGACTGGAAGGAAAATAGAAGCCGCTCAGCCAGCTAATTTAGAAGCACAAGGAAGCACCATGGGATCGACTCAGCAGTTAGATATAAGTGAAAGAAAAATGAAGAATCTCAATAAGACCCGTTCATCAGAAGAAAAAGAAGCTGAAAGGATGAGAAGAGAAAAGGAGTTGGAAATGGAACATCTTAGAAAGCTAGAAGAAGAGAGGGAGAGGGAAAGAGAGAGAGAAAAGGACAGAATGGCTGTTGACAGAGCAGCACTTGAAGCTCGTGAAAGGGTACATACTGAAGCTCGTGATAGGGCAGAACGGGCTGCTGTGGAAAGAGCAATAACTGAGGCCCGTGAAAGGCTAGAGAAGGCCTGTGCGGAGGCCAGGGAGAAGTCATTAGCTGATAATAGAACATCTTTAGAGGTCAGGCTCAGGGAACGTGCTGCGGTAGAGAGAGCTACTGCAGAGGTTCGAGAGCGTGCTTTTGGAAAAGTAATGTCTGAAAGGACCGCTTTTGAGGCAAGAGAACGATTTGAAAGATCTGTCTCAGATAAATTCTCTGCTTCTTCCAGGAATGGCGGAATGGGACCTAGCTCTTCATCCTCAGTGTATAATGGTATGTGCTCTGCGCGAACTGGAATTTTCTACAAAACTTCTCACATACCTTTGCACATATTTTTCATTCTCCTTCATTGCTTATGAACCATGTATCCTGTACAAAAAGGTTCCTACCATATGGAGAGATCTGAAGGGGTGGAAGGTGAGTCACCTCAAAGGTGTAAAGCAAGATTAGAAAGGCATAGGCGAACTGCTGAACGTGCGGTATGATTTTCTTCCTTCACTGTAAATAGCAATCCCTTTTTTTATATCAAAGGAGTTCATCTGTAATGTTTTGGCTTTATGGCAGGCAAAAGCTCTAGCAGAGAAAAATATGCGGGATCTTCTTGCTCAGAGAGAACAAGCAGAGAGAAATGTAATTGTTTTTTGTGAAGAATATTGTCAAACTTTTAACTTGCTTTGCATATTTCACTGATTTAACTCCTATCTAATTTTTCTTGCAGAGATTAGCAGAAACTCTTGATGCGGATGTCAAGAGGTGGTCAAGTGGGAAAGAAGGAAACTTGCGTGCATTGCTTTCAACTTTGCAATATGTATGTGTATTCTCCTTTCATCATCTTAGGAATGGTGTTGTCTTCTGGTTTCCTTTAATGCTTCTTAAATGTAATCAATTGAAGTTTTTGCTGCTATGGATTTTCTAGGATAAGATATGAAGAAAATTTTTGAATGAATATTTAATATGGCCAAATTAAATCAGAAAGTGAGTAGCTCCTTTGTGCTGTTAGGGTGTCTGGGTAGAGTTTCTCTTGTTTAATACTCTCTACCAGCTAGTTCACTTCATTTCCTATTTTTAGGTTTTTCTAATGATAATAAATGTTTAGATTTCTGGCCTCCTTTCTTCAGTTTTCATTTTATCTGGCCTGTACAATGGTCCTTGAACTATTTCTTTGTGGCAGATCCTTGGGTCTGATAGTGGCTGGCAGCCGATTCCATTGACTGAAGTCATAACTTCAGCAGCTGTAAAGAGAGCTTACAGGAAAGCCACTCTTTGTGTTCATCCTGACAAATTACAACAACGAGGTGCAAGTATTCAGCAGAAGTACATATGTGAGAAGGTCTTTGATCTTCTGAAGGTAATGGTTTGCAAGTTACTTTCAACAACTTCAATAACGATTGAAACTCTTAGTAAATATGGTTGACAAGTTCACAAATTCATTTTGAGGACAACGTGTTTTGTACTTTTGGTGTTGGAAAATAGCCTTTCACACCCCTATGGCAAAGCCTTCATAGAAAGATCTGTTGTTGTGAACCCCTGTGTTGTCTATCTATGCTTTAAGACTCATGCTCATTAGGTTAGAATTACTCTTCTTCACTCATCCCCATTTGTTGAGGTAGCATTTAGCTCTTGCTTACTAAACAGTCATCAGTATTCAGTAGCCTATGGTGCTTAAAAAGTTGAATAGTTTTTTATTTTTTCACGAGTCAAAAATACAATGTTTTGTTTTGCCATGGGGCTGCTGAGGCAGCAAAGGCTTTGACCATGGACATTCTTGCTAATATCTGTATTCTTATCATTCTATTGGTGTTTTATTTTCAGGAAGCTTGGAACAAGTTCAACTCGGAAGAGCGTTAGCCTGAGCTTATTATATCTGTGCTGATTGCTTATTTGCAGTAGACTACTCATTTTGTAAATACATTCGCCTCGTAGGTAAATATCATTAAATCCATCTGATACTTCATTATCTTTTGCATTTTGGGAATGTAATTTATGGTCAAAGGGAAATAGGTAAGAAACAAATATTATTCAATGGAAAGTGGCCAGTTTCTGTTCCAACTCTGGCATCCAGTTATGTTTTGATGCAACAATTTTGATTACAAAGAAGAAAGCCTTAAACGCCTGGCCCTATTTAGTAGTTTGAACTTTTCACCCTAATTACCTGTTTTGATCTCTTCAACCTTCTCTGGATAAAATATTTAGGAAAAAAGGCTTCAAGGTGTTCCTATCACTAACTTTAATTATTGGATGATAGAAGTTGACGAAAGGAAGATAAGAACAGAGGTCGATGGCTGAAAAGAGAGAGTGCATGTCTTTGTTTACAAGGAAAATTATTCTTTGATGTAAAACATGATGATAACGACAACTGAGGATTTTGTGGAAAGCTATTTATGATCATCAAAAGGTGTAGTGATCAAGGTTGCTTCTATGTAATGATGTAAAACATGATGATAATAAGAGTCGGTAGAAACGCATCATAATCCATAATATTAATATTAATTCTGTTTGTCTCCACCATCATTCTTGATATGCTGCATTTTTTTAGAGTACAGAAGTTTTTATTTTATTTATTTATTATTATTTTGTTATAGATAGAATCCTTGTTAGCATTAATAATTAGCAGTTAACGAAGTCGATAAAGAGTTGTGTTAATAGAAGAAATTTTATAATACACGAGGAGTAACTAAGTAGCATGTACGGTAGTTATTTTTTGAGTTCATTTTAAGGAGAGAGATAGACACACAAAAAGAAAGAGAAAAAACAAGAGAGAGAAAATAAAAAAATTTGAACGGACGTGAAAATCTTCTTTATCATTTTTTATGGATATGGATGTAATTTCTTTTTTATGTGTCTATCTCTTTTCTTAAAGTGGATCCAATGAGTAACTACTGTATGCCACTAGTTATTCTTTATGTATTATAAAATTTTTCATTTAGCATTAATGATTAGTAGTTAACAGAGTAGATAAAGAGTCGTATTAATAGAACGGTTTAATAGTTAATAGTTAACGGAGCAGAAAGAGGGTCTTATTAACAGAACGGATTGAATGGACTGGCGAGGGGCTGAGAGGCCACTCTTGTTTCTCGAGTCCAGAAGTAGGTAACCTTTTTCGAAGCAAAATCAACCTCAAAACAAGGGCAAAACTTTTACATGAAACTGCTCACTGTGGGCCACAGAAAAATGGGCTCGACATGCTTGTGAGTGTTGGGCTGTGGGATTTGTAATGATCCGACATAATAGGATTTTTTATATTTCTTACCATCGAAAAGCTACTTCTTCCAAACCAACAACATTATTCCTAATAACAATATATATATATATATATATATATATATATATATATATATATATATATATATATAACCTAGAAATTCTAGAAATAAATAAATAAATTCTTATAATTTTTCAAAAAAAACTTGATTTTAATATATATTTATTTTTCACACACGTGCTGCCAGGTACGTGTGTGTGAGTTAGATAAATTAGTATTTATTTGAAAATCAGATTAATCACACAAGTTTTTTTAAACACAATCTCCTACAATAAAGTTAATAAAATTTTAATTGGTCACTATATATCTTTATAACTTTTATTTTTCTAATATCATATACGTTCTTTTTATCTCTATTTTTCTTTTTCCCTATAATTTTATTTAATACTCAATTTAGTTTAATTTTTTTCATTTGACATATTAAGCTCTTTTTAATCACTCGTTATGTTTTGTCTCATGAAAAAATAAATGATAGTTGACATATTCAATTATTTTTAATTCCAAGTAGTATTGTTTTATATTTTTCCTCATAAGACAAGGTATTTATTGATTTTATTATGGATGCACAACTTATTTATTTATTTTGTATTAAATACACATAAAATCAAAACGGCAAAAAATGTCAGAAGTGGGATTTGAACCCACGCCCTCTTTCGAAGACCAGAACTTGAGTCTGGCGCCTTAGACCACTCGGCCATCCTGACTTGATGATTACTGTGCTTCTAATTGTTTATTTATAGTATATAATTCATTTATTTTACGTAAAAATTTATTTTTAGGTTTCAGTGTTGATTTAGGTAAAAGATAAAAATTCAGTTTGTTAACCATAGTTTAGTAGAGTAAATTATAAATTAGTCCCTCTCGTTTTAATTAATCCCTCTTGTTTCAAAAAATAATTATTAGGCCATATATTTTTAAATATACTTTTAATTTAGTTTTTTATTCTTTTTAATTTATTTTGATTTTTATTTTAAGAAATAGAAAATGAAAAAATATAAAAAAATGGAAAGATTGATGAGAAAATAATACATGTTGTGGAAAAAAATATTAAATTAAGAATGATCAACACTAATATAAAGATTAAAAAATAATTGTTAAACCAAAAGGGACTAATTAATCCATGTTTTGAAACTAGAGAGACTAATTTATAATTTACTACTCTGGTTTAGTAAGAAACAAACTGATGACCCATGAGTTACTTTGAGTTGACTATACATTCTTTGCTCTGCTTTGTCATAAAAAAACCTCTCCTGTTCTTTCGTATTTGATGTCTCAAAAACCCCAGTTACTGTCCGATTGTTATCGTTTTATTCGTTACCTCAACTTCTCCGCCAAAATATCCATTAATGGTAATTCAAAAACCACTTTTGTAATAGAACTTCAGAACCGTTATGTCCATACCGACAACCTGTTCGATGAATTGCCTCACAGAGACCTCTACTCCCTCAACGCTCAACTCGCTTCATGTTCTCGTGATGGAAACTTTCTTGCCACATGGGCTCTCTTCTTTCGCATTCGTTCTGCATTTCATGAGCTTGATGCTTACACTTTCACGCCGGTTCTCCGTGCATGCTCGGCTTTGCCTGGCACGGAGCGTGGCAAACAAGTCCATGCTTTAATGATTAAAACTGGAACGGATTTGGGAACTATAGCAAAAACTGCAGTAATGGACATGTATTCAAAATATGGGTGCTTGGGTGAGTCAGTTAAGGTCTTCGAAGAAATGGAATACCGGGACGTTGTGACTTGGAATGCTTTGGTTTCGAGTTTTTTACGGCATGGTCTTGCTAAGGAAGCGCTTGGTGCTTTTAGAGCAATGAGGAGGGAGAGAGTGGAGATAACTGAGTTTACATTGTGTTCTGTGCTCAAAGCTTGTGCCTTTATTAAGGCGTTTCAACAAGGCAAGCAAGTTCATGGATTGGTGATTGTGATGGGCCGGGATTTGGTGGTTTTAGGTACTGCTCTTATTGATTTTTACTCTACTGTGTCGTATGTTAGTGAAGCTGTGAAAGTTTTTTCTTGTCTGAGTTGGAGAAAAGATGAGGTCATGCGCAATTCTTTGATTGCTGGGTGTGTCAAGAATAGAAGATATGAGGACGCGTTTTTGGTGATGAGTACTATGAGACCAAATGCAGTTGCACTTACTAGTGCTCTTTCTGCTTGCTCTGAGAATTCAAATTTGTGGATTGGGATGCAGATTCATTGCGTGGCACTGCGTTTTGGATTTATTGCAGATACTCAATTGTGCAATGTGTTATTAGACATGTATGCAAAATGTGGGAGAATTTCGAAATCTAGATTATTATTTGATGGGATCTGTCATAAAACTGTTGTTTCTTGCACTAGCATGATAGATGCGTATGGAAGGCACGGTCATGGACATGAAGCGCTCGAGCTGTTTAAGAAGATGGGGGAGGAAGGAAGTAGACTCTTGCCAAATTCTGTGACACTTCTTGCTGTTTTATCAGCTTGTGGGCATTCAGGATTAGTCAAAGAAGGCCAAGAAATTTTTAATATTGCGAGGGAGAAATTTGGTTTGGATCCAAATCAGGAGCATTATTCCTGCTTCATAGATATCTTAGGCCGTGCTGGCCTAATAGAAGATGCATGGTGCCTGTTTCATGATATGGTTAAAAATGGTATAAGGCCTACAGCTGCAGTGTGGGCAACACTACTGAATGCTTGTAGTCTTAACCTGGATGTGTTTAGGGGTGAGTTTGCTGCAAAGAATCTCTTGGAATTAGAACCAAATAATCCTGGGATAAATGTGCTGCTTTCAAATTTCTATGCATCCATTGGTAGGTGGGATGATGTAGAGAGCTTGAGAAGCAATATGAGGGAGAAAGGACTGGCTAAAGAAGAAGGAAGTAGCTGGTTAAACTTTGCACGGAATTGCCACTTAACAACAAATTAGAGCAGAAAAGAGGTGGTTTGAACTTCTTGATGAGCGGATTACTATTCATCAATTAGAAGACTCAGAAAGTGCAGCACTCTCAGGTCTGCCTTCTGGTTTTTCTTAGACTCCATTTCCATGCTGAAGATTTCCATTAAAGCAATTCATAGAAGTGATCAGATACATCTGGTTAATTACTTGAATGGTCTAGTTTTTGGAGGCTTGAGATAACGGTGCAGGTCCCGAAATCTCTCATTTCCAAAGCAGTGTTTTAGGAACAAATAATCTCTCATTTCCAATGCTGCTGTTCTTTGTATTCATGATTCTTGCTGCTTTGGTTGCTTTGTGCCAATCATCATTTATCACCAAAAAGGAAGAAATGTGGGGGAGAAAGGACTGGCTAAAGAAGTAGGAAGTAGCTGGTTAAACGTTGCACGAAATTGCCACTTAACTACAAATTAGAGCTGAAAAGAGGTGGTTTGAACTTCTTGATTTTGATCAAAGAGCAGACTGTTATTCATCAATCAGAAGACTCAGAAAGTGCAGCACTCTCAGGTCTGCCTTCTGGTTTTTCTTCGACTCCATTTCCATGATGAAGATTTCCATTAAAGCAATTCATAGAGGTGATCAGATACATCTGGTTGATTACTTGAATGGTCTAGTTTTTGGAGGTTTGAGATAATGGTGCAGTTATAGTTTTAAATCATAGACGGTTGAAAAAACAATTACAGTCAATACTGTGGATACCGACTTATTATAATACTAAAATAACGATAACGAGATGCATTGAAATCATTATATAATGGTTATTATATTACGTAACGATTGTTATTTAAAACTATGAGTATAAGTTCCAAAATCTCTCATTTCCAAAGCAGTGTTTTGGGAACAAATAATCTCTCATTTCCAATGCCGCTGTTCTTTGTACTCATGATTCTTGCTGTTTCGTTTGCTTTGTGCAAGTCACCATTTATCACCCAAAAAAAGAAGATAAAGCGATTGCCGACCGCATCCTTGTATTGATTAGTTACTAGATTTTTCTTGTGTATTATTGCAATTGGCCTTAGAGAGTTTTGTATGAACTGTCCTTGCAATACATCACACAGCTGACATGTTGGAACTAAAAAATTAATATCATTGACGACATTTCCAAAACCGACATCCTCATATTCTTTTGCTTATAAAGAATAGTTGATTTTGTATGGATGGGTCACTATCTCACCTATGAAGTTTGAAAATTTCTTATTTTTGGTGGTTGGAAACAGAGAGCCAAGGAGCCGTTTCTTGCCTAGTCAAAGATCTTCGATAACCTTTCACACACTAAAAAACAAACAAGAGAACAAAAGGCATTCCAAGCAAAAACCAACTAGTATAGGAAAACGCTATGCACATTCCCTCTTCATGGAAACCTCATCATATGGACGGACAAGATCTACCCACGTCAACATGAGCAAATTGTGGATAGCATTTCTTCCAAATCAACCAACAAAAACGTGGCCAAATTTCTTAAACTAGTAGTTACTAGATTTTGACTAGTTCATTTTCATCCACTCATTGCTCACCAACCACCCAGCTTCTTCCATATATACACACTCCAAGTTCATGTTATCTTTCAAGCCACTGAGCATATTACTTCTACTAGCATCAAAATGTTGAGAGCATTGAGCATATGTAGAAACCCTAGGGGGTATGAGAGGTTAGTTGAAGAGCCTGTTAACATAGGTCTATTGGATGGAAAGTTGAAGAGGGCTAAAAGCTTACCAGCTGGGGTTTTTGGTTCATCAAAGTCACGTAAGTTAGAACCAGAACTGGCCCGTCAAAAAATTTCGCCAGCGAAGCCTAGCAGCAGAAAGGTTAGCAAGAGTCATCCACTGTTTAGTCTCTTTTATAATCGTAGAAAGAAGAAACCTACAGCTAGGCCAGAATTTGCCAGGTACTTGCAGTATGTGAAGGAAGGAGGGATTTGGCAATGATTTTTCAAATATATATGCCCGGCCATATATACACCAATGAAGCAAGAAAAAACAGTGCTGTTTGATCAGCTTTCATTTTTTTTGGTTCAAAGAAAGAAGTGTGTTAGTTGTATTAGAGTTTAAGTTCAAGAGCAAAAACTGCTTTTGACAATAATGTCCATTCTTTCACTTTCTGTAATCTGGATGATCCATTTGATTGCACAGAATTAGTATTGAATATAATTGAGTATTAGAATTTTGAAAATTCTTGCATTGTGTTCATTTAATTTACTTAATTGTTTTAGCTACCCAAACCCAATTGCTCTGTTTTAGCAAGTAAGTTGAGAACCAATAATTATTACTAGGGCCTTGCAAATTTATATTTCTTCTTCCTTCAGTATAAACAGGTACATCCAGAGGAACAAACCCAGGAAAAGTTTTCATGATGTTCTTATGACTTGTATCAAGGGAATGATTTTGTAGAGATTGCAATGCCCTGTTTATTTTTGTTTACATTGTGAGCTTCAACCGTTGCATACCAAAATAAAGCCAGGAAAGGGATCAAAACAGTTACTCAATCTAAGGTTCCTAGTTTCTTCTTCTTCTTCTTCTTTTCCAGGCCTATATAATTCAAGAAGATAATAACTTAGAAGCAAAGCAGAATCAATGGAGTTAGGATTTCAATGGAAAGACGATTAGATGCCTAATTGTCTCATTCTTTTGGAGATATTGATGAAAGTTTTCTGTGCAGAATTTGTGTGCCTGTGTCTACTACTATAAAATAGTATAGATGTTACCATCAATGTACAGCTCGGGATCAGTCCTGGGACAAGCCATGCATGCATAAACAGGATTAATTATGATCATGGACATAAGTTTAGATGGGAGGCTTTTTGTCCTATAATACAGTTTTTAGAGAGAAGAGAAGATGCTCTAGCCTCTGTAGATGGATTTTTCTACCAATGATAAAAAAAATTTGGTCTAGCTAAGTTTGACAATCTTTGATTTCGAATGTCACTTTTTCTACCAATTACTAGGGTTTGTATATTGACAATATATTTCTTTTCTTGGATTCTATAAGGCTTTAATCATCCATGACACCAAACTAACTAATCACCTAAGCAAAACAGCTCAAAGGGTTTGGCAAACCACTTTGAGATCTAGAATTGAAATTTTCAATCGTTAATCACGGAATTGGAATCATCTAATTGGTAGAACGAGAATGGGATTACCAGGAAAGGAAAAAACCAAAGTAATTAGTAATTACCAACTTATGCTTTGCCCAAGAAACCGTCACAAAACTTTTTCTCTACTTCTTGGTAGGTGAACCAGCTTGTATTCAAATCAAATATGCATATTTTGAAGGTTAAATTAACCTTAAGGATGGTTTAGTCTTATAATGTAATCTCCTGCAGGCCAAGAAGTGAAAAGTTCAAGAAAATTACGAATAAGAAGAGATCAAACTCATGCCGAAACGTGTAGATGCTTTTTAGAACATAAAAAAATTGCGTTTTGGAGTTTTTGAGGCATGACCATTTCCTCTCCCTTGGATACCATATATGATTGGTACAAAGAGAAACAATTGGATTACCCAATCAAAATTAAATTTACTTTTTTTTTTTTTTAAAGTTTAATCGGCACGAGCACTGGACCAGAATACATTTAGTTTTGAATCGACGATTAAACGTTAAATCAATCTAAACTTGATATCACTAATTATCCGTAGATAATAAAAATTAAACTTTGATCTTATCCAAATTAAAACAATTCTCTTATTCCTAGATCATATTCTTTGATAGTATCCATATCATTATCTTAAATACTCATATAAAAAATAAAATATGTATCAAGTATCAATAATAACAAAGATGACTTAAAAATAATAAAATAAGTAAGCAATGAATGCGATTATATGAAGAAGATTATAGTAGATATAATATTATGGACTATGATTTATTTTTCAAATAAATTTTGGAGGTAAAAGATAAATTGCCTTATATTCAAGCAATAAAAAGATAAAAATTATTTTATATTCAAACAATCATAAGTCATTCTCATGAATTCAGATAAAATATTGAGGACTTATGCGCTTGCAGATATGGAGTCTCTAGAATAACCTAGCTAGTGTTGGTTTCTTTGGCCTTTTCATCATTTCCTCTCATGTGGTTTTTTTTGCCTTAGCCCCTTTGTTATCTCCTTTTCGCCTTGGCTTTGCCCTTGGTGCCGTAATGAATTTCATTGGTTTATCAGGAAAAAAAAAAAAAAAAAAGGAAGAAGAAGAAGAAGATAAAGTAGCATGTAAAAGCTTTCTTCAGTGAGATAAATTTCAAATCTCAATACCATGCCGGGGATCGAACCCATGCCGAACTGCAAAAGCCAAGAAAAGAAGTAACCAAAAAAAAAAAAAAAGAAGAAGAAGCAAAAACGCCGTTACCGGGGATCGAACCCGGGTCACCCGCGTGACAGGCGGGAATACTCACCACTATACTACAACGACTTTGTTGAAATCAAAGCAGCCACATAATTTAGATTACTTTAATCTTCCTTCTTCCAGGTTTCTTGGAAAAAAAAGGGGAACCTATTTTACAACAAAATACATGGATTTTTTCCCATATTTAGATTCTCTATTTTTCAAATTATTTTGGTTCAAATCTCGATTAGAAGCACACATTTTAGTTTTAAACTAGCATACATCCCGCACGTTGTCGCGGGGTGAGTTATACAACATTTTTATTTATTCATTCATATAAAATATAAAATTTAAAAATAATTATTTAAAAGTATAATGTGAAAAAAATTCAAAAATAATAATTAAAACATGTATTTCATAATTCGCAACAGGGTTAGCTAAATAAAAAAATTTGCAAAGTTGAATAATATAATATTACTAATTAGATATTATTTGATATAACTAAAATATGTATAATAACTGATAATTAAAATAATAATGTGGTGTTTTTTGAATTATAGATGATTAATTTTTATCATATATTATTCATCTGTAATTTTTTAATGAGACAAAAAAACCACCCAAAACAAAAAGATAAAAAACCTTTGTCAAATCGAGAATTTGGCAAAGAAAATAAAGATAAAATTATACATGATAAAAATTAAATGATCAAAATAAAATAAATAAAAAAATTTTACTAAAAAAAAACTTATAAACAATAAGTTTTTTTTTAAAAAATCATTATGCATAAGGCAGAAACAAAAGTAAAACATTATAGAATTTTAATGACCGAAATAAAAAAATTAATAAAATAAGAATCAAAACAGAAAATGTTTTTTAGTAAAAAAAAATTAAAATAGTTAAACTGTATTTAATTTTAGTGTAGAATGAATAATAATTAAATATAATAAAAATTTAATGATCAAAATAAATGAAAGATCACAAAACAAAAATCAAAATATAACAAAAAGTTTTACTAAAAGTAAAAAATAGTTTCTTGCAGGAAAAAATAAATATAATAAAAATTTAATGATTAAAATAAAAAAAACAATAACAAAATAGGGACTAAAAAAAATTCTATTAAATTTAATGACAAAAATAAAAAAAATCACAAAACAAGTAATTATAATAGAAAGAAAAGTTTCACTAAAAGCCAAAAATAAAAATAATAAAAGCTTAGGATATTAAATTTTATTTAGTTTTAGTATAGCATGGATAAAAATCAAATATGATAAAACTTAATGATCAAAATAAAAACATATCACAAAATAAGAACAAAAAAAGAACATAAATTTTTACTAAAAACGAAGAAAAAAATATTTATTATAGGATAAAAATCAAATATAATAAAATTTTAGCATTCATTATAGGGATAAAAATTAAATATAATAAAACTTTAATGATAAAAAAAAAGACCAAAATAAAAGGTAATTTCCTTAAAAGCTTGAAAGCTAGCAATCTAAACGAAAAAAAAAATTTGTAAAAGCTCGGAAGCCAACAACCGAGGAAAAAAAAATAAACAGTAAATAAACATTGTAGTACTAAAGTAGTTTTTATTTTCTTTTAGTTTTATTGTTGTAATGTCATTGTAATACCAAAAAATCAAATTCGGACCACTCTATAAACGCAGCCGGCCTACATTACCTAGTGATTTAAAAAAAAAAAAAATTTATGGAAGTTTTGGAAGTTGCTCTAATTTTGTTTCATCTCATCACTCGTTACCTACCATCATCACTGTCCACCCAGTCCAGCAAACATACAAAAGTCAACTACACATCAAAAGAACTAGTCCGCTCACTCATTGGCTCTTAAGAAACACTTCGGAGACACCCCAACTGATGATTAAAATAATAACACACTTCCCATATCCCATCGTCTTGTTCAAACGCCGAACCTTTCAACTTTTTATTTCCTTTCTATCAAGCCTAGCAACTAACAAGTAACAACAAAATCTATATATTTATATATAGTGATATATTTTTTTATAATATATTTAAAAATAATAAGATATTTTTGAATTAATTTTTACATCAATCGATATTAAATTTATTATTTTTCGAATTAAAATAGTGTTTTAACACGTTTAATTTTTAATCGATCATCGGACTACTTTTTAGGTCGAATCAATTTAAATTTGATATAATTACAGAATAATTATAACTAATTATTTGTTATAATAGAAATTGAATTTTTGTTTTGTTCAAAATAAGATAATTCTTTACTGCTAAACCACTTATCTTAATGGTTTTTTTTTTAAATTGTACAACTTGGTTTTCTTTCAAAACCAATTTAAGAAATTGAAGACTTGGTGTTATTGTAGGAATCAAAACCAATTCAAGATTAAATCAGTATTATAACACATCTAATTTTTAATTAATCATCAGATTACTTAGTTCAAACCATTTCAAACTTGATATCATTACAGAATAATTATAGATTATTATTTGTTATAATAGAAATCGAACTTTCGTTTTGTTCAAAATAAAACAATTTTTCATTGCTAAACCACATTTCTAAATGGTTTTTTTTTTTTAATCGTACAACTGGATTTACTTCCAAAACCAATTCAAGA